TGACGCGCCGGTCAGTATGAAATACGATGGAGTAAACTAATTTTCTCAAACTTACAAACTCAAACAGGCTTAGCTAGCTTTTATTTTCAATCCAAGTGTGCACCGCTAGTATTTGACTTTCTGCCATCTCAATAATAACTTGTTCCGCTACCGCAGACCAAAGACGTGTCGAGCGATAATTTCGGCATCATGTTGATATTTCGATAAAAGTTGACAATAACAATGGTAATCTGTAGCGGTCACATCTGGCGCACGACAAAGCCTGGAACTGTGACGTTTTTATCGCTGCCTGTGATTTTTGCGATGTAAAGTCGAAGGTTGTTAGAAAATACAAGTGCTTTACTTCTGTTTACTAATTTTAGTTGATTAATTCAGGAGTTTTTCGGTCACCGCCTCCAGTTGTTGACGATCCGCTTTAAGAAACGGGTCAGAACTCATGATGACGTTATGGGTCACACGCCCATTTTCTGCACAAAGAATTTTCTACAGCCATAGATCTGCTTTACACTATGTCCTGCCCGTCCAGTTGCACCGATCACTGATGCAATCGTTTGCGATTATCGTAGAAGATGTAATTTCCATCACAAGTCAGTGCAAAGATGGCTCCCTGTTATGACGTGAGAGCAAAGAAAAGCAGATCTCCCTGTATCTGTTTTGAATCCTCGCTCAAATCATGCAGCATCCATTCGCCCGATTTTCGACCTTATTCATTTGACCGAAGTAAACATGTATGTGGTATACTCACATACATCAAACCCAAATTCTAACACCTTGAGACGAAACGGCTTTTACAGCAGTTCTAAACTTTTAATTGCTCACCTTCACAAGGACTCTTTGACAAGACCCATCTTTGATTTAATAATGTTCTTTCAGAATTATTTTAAACCAACGGCTCGCGGTGTTTCTAGCTGTAGAACCTTCACCAAAATCAAGGTTTATATATACGAACCGTCCAAGAGGCTGTAGTCGTGAGATGGTGTTCATACCCGTAAATCAGTCAAGTTTTTTTTATTTTCTGTAATCTCGTACCAAACGTTTAGTGCATAAATTCTAGTAAGCGATATGTAATAGCTGAAAAATGGTTGAGCATTTCTGAAAAATATAGACGATATTTCTACATTGCTTAGCTGTTTAATTGTTCGGATAGCCTAATGTTTACCTCAAATCTTGAACGTAAAGGTCAGTTACCTACTGAGATAACGAAAGAACCTTAAGAGGGCAACTGCAATACAATGACGGTTTAATCCTAAAGGAGGCTAATTGAAAGCTGAGATAGCTCATTTATGATAGTGGAACGTCTGAATCGGGTTAACTAAACAATCGCAGGATAACAACACGGCAGTGACCTTGAAGTACCAAGGAAGCAATCTGTGTTGCAACAGGATGACAGGACAACTGTACCAAATAGAGAATACCGCTTTAGGCCAGGCAAATCTAAGCTCACTATACGTTGGATCCGAATAATAGCATAACAGTGTTGGCCCACCTAACGTGTGTCCTTGAGGAGTGTATTCTGTAGCCCAAGCAGGCAAAAGCAGCCAGATATTAGCAATAGTTATCCGATACCGATATGACATCTTGGGTAATTGGATAAAATTTTTCCTCCTCTTTTTTCATTATTGAATATTTATTTTAAGAATATAATAAATTCGGTAATATTTAGTCAGAAGAACTTGCTTACGTACGCTGTTTTTCCAGGTTTCTGGTAAACGTTGCATTTCTTATCGTCGTATTTGTAGTATATGGACCAGCCATCTTTTGACTTTTCCAGTGGTTTCGCAGATATGTGTCACTTAGAGTATTTACGGATTGCATTATTTGGACTCGATGAAAAATGATTTGGAAAATTCTTTGGGCAGAGATAAAATTCTTACCTCTTTTCTGTATACACCGACTAAAAAATACGCTGCTAATGAACTTCAATAGAAATTACCTTTTCTTTGACTTATGCAACTATTGGGTTTTCCTTTTCACATAAGATTATCGCTCCGAAGCATGTTTTTCTAACGGTTGTACCGCAAGGCAACCTTATATTGCACTGAAACGTACCAGAATGTTGTCTGAAACACCGTATTTAATTAAAAAAAAAAAAAAAAAGAATAAAAACACTGATAGGAATATATAGCGCGGAACAGATTCATGATAAAAACAATCGATGGGTTTTAGCTGCATTCTTCTTTGGATTGAGATCGAGCTGCGAAGGTTAATTTGCTCATCTTAGCTACGGTACAGAATATTACTACAATATGTGTACATAAGAAGCATCTTGCGGTGATTCATGTGATAAGCCTATAAAGCTACCGATTAGCCTTAATATAGTCCTGCTATTGCAATACTGAGCTAATAAGCGGGAAAAAACGGAGTCCAAGGTTACGACGAATGTTGATAGTCGTTTAAGAATTTTTTTGGGCTAAGCTAAAATATCAATATTCAACCCTAAGTCATCAGTCCTACAGTCTTCACAAAAGTGGATATTAAGTAAGACACGCAAAGTATTCTTATGGCTATTTCTTAAACTGCCGAAGGAGTGTTGGAAGGATGAACACCATAAACTTCCGATAACTCTAAGTGTTGGGCGTAGGCGGCTAAAATGTCTATGAACGGCAAACTGAACGTGTTGAGTTTTTTTGGGCCTGTTTTACGATTTGTGGCTTTTGGGACATAAGACAAGGTCGTAACGCGCAATTTCGGTTGCGTGACCACGCATCCTATACGTGCGTCCCTCCAGTATTATAGGCCTGTTGGTGCGATTTTTTCCTCGACTAGAAGGCATGTTTTTCATCAAGCCCCTAACAACCTGACACATTGTTATGTCCCGCCCGTGGTTTTTTTTACCTACAAGCTTATATCCTCTGTCTTATTTGTACCTAAGCCTTTAGCGGACCTCAGGTTACACTCTCCCTCTACTTGAATTTTAGCTTTCCTTCACATTAAGAGGACCGCACGTTAACACATTGGTGTTCATCACTAAGGAAATATCTTTTCGTATGAAAAATATCCGTATCAATGTTTTACGCGAATGTCTGTATAGAAGCACGCATTTTAGGCAAAATTAATTTTCGACACCACTCCCGCTATTGCCTCAGCCATTGGCAACAACGTGCTCTTTCGGTTTCTGCCTTTTTACCATCGATCGGTGGGACACCGCCGAAAACGTAAATGAAAATTGACTTTAATATATAGAGGAATAAAAAAAGAACCAATTAATCTACAAGGCAGTATGAAATACGTATATTGATTGTAGCACAACACTAGAACAAATACACACAAAGTGAAATAAATAAAAAACAGTCCACCTGAACTACCTTCCCAGTTTCCAGACTAATTGTATCTGCGCAGCTTAGATCTTATAGTGTCAGTCTACTTATTGGTGATTTTATGGCAGGATGACGCCTTAATTTTTCAGTAATTTATTTAATAATTACTATTGATAATAATTAACTAAAATTAAAATGAAACTATCTGCCGACAGGGTAGGTCTTTATTTGGGCATAGGATATAATCGAGATCGCCCGATAGTCTGATCGCAATAATGGCATTGTAATTGCACCGAATTTTCTTAGAAACAGCATAGTTTATAATTTATCAGTATATTCCATCATGATAAATATAGGTTAGATTTGCATGACATGTATTGTCGAGAACTTTACATGAGCCTGCTGGGTACGTGGCTTCCGTAGACTACCATTCGTAGGGAGTCCAGATGAGATTTGCAATAGATTGCGGCTTTTAAAGGCCACGAGGTTCGAGTATCAACTGGGACACGGGACACATGGGTTTTCAACATTACCAAAATACTAACATACACTCTTTTGATTTAGGACTCGTGTTGAAACTCCATCAAGATGGCAAAGTGCCTAGGACGGTTGTGTTTGTGTACTCTGAGGGAATGGGTCTTATCGAACCCAGACATTTCAGAACTCAGATCGCATTGTTAGCTTGTTCGATCCGAGATTTCAAGAGATCTACTATTGATATTCTAGCCAACGTAGAGATACATTATACGATGGAACTGTGCCGTTGCAACGGACACGTAAATCCAATCAGTTGATAATAATGAAATCGCACCACGAAGGATTGTCGACTGTAAATAGAATCCACTTCTTTCCTTACGTATGTATTAAAACGGCTTTACCATCACAACACGCACTCGTATATTACTAGTCAAATAGTAACACCGCCATAACGAGAACAACAACAACAGATTATTGTTTTCCTATTGTTTTTTTTTTTATTATTGTCGTTCGCCTTTGCTGCGTGTGATACAGTGTGGCGGTTGTGTTTTTCAAATCATGCTTGACATTAAGCGATTCTATATAACTGCATTGTATCGTGTGGATAGATAGTTCGGGCGATAATGAGTACGACAAACTTCATCATTCACTTGATTTGCTTAGGCCTACAGCGAACCGAACAAAGGTTGAGACTATCAGACATATATAATTTTGTAGGCAAACACTTGAAGCATTACTCGTTATTTTACAGATATCATTCAAGGCTGTCTATAGAAATAGAGGCAATATATAAATGTAGTGGTTACTATGTGCCCTGAGTAGTATTACCCCCTACGCCGTACTGTTCTGGCCTAGCTGTTCTAACTTGCTGATCAATTTCAGTCAGATACTACTTTGATAAGCACTCCCTATACGACACTGCCAAAACATGCATAAAATCAAGCATTGCTCCGAATCACAGCTGGTAGCCTCAGCGTTTCGAATGCGAACACCCTTACAGAATGCGCCGCAATCGATCGAAGAGGACTACGTTAAAATGTCACAGTTGATAGGTTAGTTCAGTTTGAAAACAAGACACCAAGCATCGTTTAGGAAATGATCTGGCAAGCAATGCTGGGCAGAACCGCCATCAAAAAACGATACGAATCATACAATGGCGTCAAACGAAATAGGCAGAACAAGACCTACCGCTGTTTTTGAGTCTTTCGGCAAAAAATAGCTCTAAGGCATTCTATTGACGTCTCTGCAAACAATAATGGACAATACCTGTTGGCCTGATATCTGGAATATCTTCGTTAAGCATGAGATCCATCAACTTAATGAATAGGCGGGTACGACAAAAGGCACATATCTGTTCTTGGTAGAATAGATCAGAGCAACCTGCACGAACCGGTTCGTGTACGCGAATATCGTTACGACTTTGTTATTATGCGACATTAAAGCGTCCGCTCTCCAACAAAACCCGTTCTAGTCTGACAAATAGCCGATAGTATTTTCTAGCTAGCTTTTTAGTTTAGTTACATCCTGCTTCTCGCATACTGTAATACTATCCTATCGAGCTCCTATGAAACCAATAGAGGAAACTCAGTTTTTTTTTTATATCAATAACATAATTTACTTTGTACCATTTATTCGCCCATGTGTGTATTTAATAAATAAGGATGCTTCATCTGAAATCCTTCAGAGAACATTTGTTCTTTGTCCTAACATGTAATAGATTTTGCTTAGTTAGGGTGCCACATGAATAAGGTCACAGGCATTTTCACTCAGTACGTGTAAAGCCTTTGTAGCAACTGCATACAGCTTGCGTGCAAACTAGATTTAAAACATCACTGTTTTTTTGTACGATAAAGCCGAACTAACACACGATGACTCTAAAATACGATTCTCATTTGATGGTCATTAACATTGTTTCCGCGGTCTACTTTTAGATAAGTACTTTCTTGGGCACGTAACACTTGTATTCAGTTGTAAATAAATAAATAAAATATAAATGTCGTCTCTTTCTCCGGCCATTATTATGCTATTAAGATTTCGCTTGCAACGACCGTCGTCTGACTGCTATTCAGCTAGGATTTTAGGTAGTAGCGATCAATATCTTGTTCTGAAAATCGTGTTTCGTTGACTGATGTCGCTTACCTACGGAAGCGGATCAAAGCTTTCCTCTCGCTTATCTCTCATTTTTCGTGATCTTTTAAAGATTAGAGTGACGCTTTCGCGTTGAGTTTTTGGTACACGACTTTACGAGCAGTGACATTGAGCTGTATGGGCTTGCAAATTCGCTAAGCTAAGCAATAAGTTATTTTACCTGTCTATTCTCCGAGCTTATGATTTGAAATTTGCACCGTTGTTGATATAGCATGTCACCTTAAGATACATACTCGTATAAATATATGCCAAGATGAAATGGTAGAAGGTTGATTTCTGGTTAAGAAAATGAATCACTCGTTTGTATGAACATCTGTGACCTCTTTTAAAGGGTCAGTACTTCAGCTACTTATTTGATTTTCTCCAGTAGTCTTACGTGAAGGAAGAACAGGCATTTTTTAGCTGCTTGGTTAACTACTTATGTAGGCGTATGTTGAAAACGGTCCCGGACGTATACGAGGCTTACTTGTATACGATCAAGCCGCGTTTTTCTGGCTTTTCTAGTATTAGTCCGCAATTGCTTAAGCCACGTCCAGAGTATGAAAATAAGTATAAGCTAGCTACCCCTGTCGCTTCTTTTGTAGTTCTCATAACGCATAAATTGCTGATCGTCCATATGTACAGTACTATAGCACTCCCCTTATGATACATGGAAATACTCATTGTGGTGGTGCATGATGATTGTACTGTTAGGAGAATTATTCAGAAAATATCAAACACATATTATTTGGAGATAAACAATTATTTACTAGCTATAATTTATCATTTATCTCCGAAAGCTTAAACATAACTAGGCAGCTCCACGAACTAGCAGAAGATGTCCAGGACATTCTCGCAGCCAACGTTAGCCCCGATAAGCTTTCCTGACCGCCAGTTGTAGCAGTACGCCACTTATGATAATGCGCTTGGATTATCTTTAGTCCTAGAATAAAGAATGAGGTAATTATTCACGCTGCTTCATGAGGATCATTTTTCTCCTTCTGTCATGAAATAGGAACGAAATGGAAGGAGCATTGTGTTAGCTTCAAGGAACTTCATTAATCAAGGTTAACCGATTTACCTTCTATGACCTACATTCCAAACGACTAAACCGCTGCTGGAAAAGTAAACGTATAGAGGAAGATTTAAGCTTACGTAGATAGCTACGGCAGCTTGTTTGCGGCTATCGAGCGACGCTGCATTGGCGACATTTCAATTATCGAAGACCGACATACGCCAAAACGCTGTTAGGTTCTAACTAACCGCATCAAACAAATGGACCGGAGTATCGAGGATGTTACAGGCAAAAAAAATTAGACGCTACTTTCGTAATCCTAGGGAAATTTTACACAAATCAGATGTTATATAAAAAAAATTGAAATCCTTTACTTTATGAAAACATAGAAATATTATATCACTCTTCAGATAAAGTTGTAAATGGCTGGACCCTTCTAGTCTAGTCATTTCTAAGCGTCTCTATTGATATAAAATTTGAAGGCTGCATCTCATATTCATGCCTAGGCCCTTGAAAATCAGTAATTTGGATTCCTTAGGCAACCAACATAGGTGCGGAGTTAACCATAATCGACACAGTTTGCTATCCCATACGACCAAACACACACGCGGATATCAAATGGACTTTGAAAAATCAAATGATTCTTTTAGAGATCCAACCATCTACTCAACGAATAGATATATATTCTTATTATATATTTCCTGTAAGTAATCTTTCCGGCCAATTTTAGTTTTTGTTTCCATGATCTTGTTAAATAATGGAGAACTTATATAGCCTTAATCGATAGACATTGCAGTTAGGTGTGCCAGTATAGGATCTCAATCTCAAACAAACCTGCATCTACGTAGATGAGATTAAAACAAACAAGATATTTTTTTTGTCGTCAAAGTGTCCTTGGCTTTTTTAAAAACTTGTTTGGCCAGCATTATCTATTGCAGCAAAAGCGTATCGGCCAGAAATTTAAATTTGTTCAGGTAAGCATTTTTCTATATTGAAAAAATACGGCGAGAACAATGGATAAAGACGCATGCTCTATGCTATACAGGCTCTATGCTCTTCTAACAAAGTAGCTTCTTTACGGAAATGATCTGAAATAAATATGAACAAATGAATATTAGACTACCTTTAACTTTGGTGAGAAGTGGGCGAAGCATCCTCTGGAAGTTGATTGTACTGTTACACAATTCAGTTATAATAACCCCTACACTTTAGTCAGATACACATAGGCTGTTCAGCGAAACTGAACGTTAACACGAGACTCATTTAGCAATAAACAATTTTAGTAAAATGCAAATACACCACTTTTGGTAGGTTCTACGCTAAGGAGGCGTCGTGGAAAATACGAACGTAACAGATTAAAGCTCACATTGTTCCCCATGGATTTTGATCAGCTACATATAACCGGATGACTAATCAGTGCCCGATCAATACTCTGAAATTTTCGATAACCCTTATTTATAGAGTGGAATTACTAGGATACTACAAGCAGATCTCTAAGATAGACGATTTTTTAATTACGCGCCATTAACAGACGAAAGGTGATGGGCTATACTGCAGAATTTAGAAGAAAAGTAGTTTCGAAATATCGAAATCAACCCTCAACCGTCAAGTTTTTGTTATCCAAAACACACATAAATGGTAAGTATACGGCTGTCCAGAAGTTGGCTAAGCGCTGAAACAAGTGTCTTACATTACAAATTACAGGGGAGTACTTCTAACACATATTAAAAAATCCTTGATTGATTCTTGCTCCGCTAGCTCATAAGTTCAATTTCGAAATCTGATGCATGCGCTTGTAACAGCCTAATCTATTGTTTATATTTAAACGAATTTGCAAGTCCGGTAATCTCTATGCGGGTTGTGCGGTTATCAGGATGGGGGACACACCTTACGGGCCCCGTAGGAATATCCTAAATGGCGGAATTTTTGAGGCATTTCTTCGAGGGTCAACTGAAGACTCTTCAAACACTGTAATTAGCATAATTCTCTCCTCCTTTATATAGATTTAGTAACTGCAAACGTTCACGTGATAATTTTGCGTGTGCTAATGGCCCAGAGTTAATTATATTATTCTAAAGCAAAAAATTGTATAAATGGAAATCTACACACAATGTCACCGACAACTATGTTTACGTATGAGAGCCTTGAGTTTACTTATATCTAGGCGTCACGTGAATTGATCTTATGTTGACTAAAACTTAATCCATGGAACGTACCACAAGCAGGCCTTAGATTTCCTACGAGAATTTTAAATTTGTATAACATCACACACACGTAAAGCCCCTGGTAGCTAAGAATGTAGCATCTGGCTGCGCAACAAAGCCAAATAGGCTTGCAGGTTCACAATGAACTATTTGGCCAGCTGTTCGTTTAGCGAAAAAATGAATTACTAATAATATTACACTGTTTACAATTGCCATGAGTGAACTTTGTCCTACAGTTGACTCGGCGTTCGAGAATAGTAATCGATGCTATAGTAACGATTAGGCTAAAAATCAATTAAGCCATTACTTACAATCAAAACTATGTAGAATTTAGAAAATAAGCCACGCAGTATTTTATGCCGTACGTAATACGTACAAATTAGAAGCATCTTACACAAAACATCTTGTACAAAAACCAGTAGCTTCGTTAACATACTTGCGTTGTTTATGGAAACGTTTATTTTCATTGCAATATTTAGTACACGGTGAATTCAGTTGTGTTTCTGTTACACAGTTCTAATTAATGATAACATAAATACAATGCCAATTTTTCAGTGCGCTACCGTATTATGTGGAAGTAAATCAACTACAATTTGTTTTGCGTTCGCATTTTATTTAAAAAATTTATGTACGATTTCACTTAAGTCGTTCGTTTCAAGTGTTCATGCGGTAAACTCGTTAGGAACTACTGACTTTTTATTGAAAGCCACACACGAAACTTCGCTTTGGATATTGTCAGGTGTAAATAAATCCTTTTTAGTGCTTCGTGATAGCTACGAACTATAAACAGCGCAAATATACACAATATTTAATATGCCTTTATGTATAATGTTTCACAATACAAAATGTTCTTTAAGATGGTAATAGAAGTTATTTATGATCCAGGTTAAATTAATGCACTGAGCCTCCGACAGCAGTAAACATTAAGTTTTCGTTATAATCTCAGGGGTCTATTCAGGTTATATGGGTATTGAATATACACCTCATAATTTTTCATTTTGATGCTTCACTATAGGGTGTAGGTGAAATTCCTGTCAGCCCAGAAGCAACTGGCGTTAATATCTCACAAAACCGATAAACTATGTATTAGGCCTATATGCAGTGGCCTTCAATAACATTTACTTCAGTATGTTCTGGTGGTCGTCGACACCGTATCTACACACGTTCATATATACCAGCAATATACACACGAGTAAGTTTGCTCACAGGTGTTTCGCGTTTGGCATACAAAGTAATTGTTTTATACTTTTTGATCGCTCATTTAGTCAGAATGGCTTAATCATACTTAGCAACAACTGATTCCAAAAAAACATCAAAGAAATGTCTTTCAAAGAGAATTGTGCCCCGGCTGAGGACAACAATCTGATCCCTTTGGCAATATAGAGTTGGAAATAACGCATGTGGTGTATTATTCAGCAGCGAAGGCGCACTTACATATGTGACACCTTGAGAAATGACAGATTTTCATGGTTCCAATAAGACTAGCCGTTTTTGTACATACATCGATTTTACATAAGCTCCTCTTGAACTGGTAAATAATGCCAGAGCAGACCTAAGATAGATCTTCCTTCTTTTAATAAACATTTTTTCAGTTGCATAAAATGACTATGCTACACACAGACGCAACCGTTTTTTACACATTGCCTACTTGGATAGAAATGTGCAATCAATATGTAGATCTCGATTTCAAATGTTTCCTTTAACATCGAAAACTGGTAGCACTTTCATTTTAATATATATCGCCATTTCAGCATTATACAACTTGCTAGCAGTACATACTTGGTCTTAGTGTCGTTTAGCCTATAAAAGTAGACGAGTCTTCAGAATCTCTATTCATAATTACTGAAAGTACAATGTCTCAAGGCCAATGGTTATGCTGGGTGTTGTACAGAATTCATGTGTACATTTATTGCGAGGTGTAAGTTAGGGTTTACTTAGTATACGCTGTGTGATGGATAGTGTGGGATAACTGTCTTCAAATAAGTTCTCTTAGAAACGATGACAAATCATTGACCTTCTTTATTTTTCTCATGAAACTAATTATCCCTCAACTTGTTGTTTTGTCGGTGTAAACTTCCGAGGGCAACAACATCATCACACTAATGTACTTTGCAAATGTATTTCATAACAGAATAACATTGGTGCACTGGCTAATAACGGAAATATTGTACGTCGCCTTAGAAAATTACGCGTCATTTGGGCTCTTTCGAGCGGCAACAAAGCGCCTTACCACAGGGCCAAGCAGTTTACTGCATAAGAGGTCCTTTGAGCACCAGGTCGTCTGTCACTTAATCGTGTTTCAGCTTCATTTCGATCTTTCTGCCAAAAACGGATCGCGTGACGAAAGCCTATTCGAGTTTATATAAATGAAAAGCAGGGGAAGACAGGATGCCGAAAAAATTATTAATAATGGCTTTCGTGATCGCTAGTTGACACTTCTCCTCATGAGAATCGTCACATACTATGAGAAGAAGAGCAGCGTATACTCCCAAAGTGTTTTTAACATAACAAAGAAAAAATTCACGCTGGAATTCTACGTTTGATCTCTGTTTTAACTTACGACTTTTCAACTGTACGTCAAACGTTTCTGTAGCTAGACTACTTCAAACGTCATTAATAAAGCATGGCATAAACCAGAATTTTTAACGTATGTGGCTCCCAGTCTAAAGAACACCTCAGTCTAAAGGGGCACGATAATAGTGAAAAAAGCTGTTGATTCGTAGCACCTGTGAATAGGTCATAGTATATATATGTGTCTAATGCTCCACAAACTCCATCAACAAAACATTTCACCAAATATAAATAGGCTTATGCCATCCCTGGAACTCACACAAATCAAGACCGTCAGTTATGTCATCGCTATCTAAATCTCCTCGTGGCGCTAAGGTCAGTTTATGATATAGTTCGGGTCTGTTTCACATAAATGTACATAGGTATATTATAAGTAAATTTATACTGCATTTAAATTAATTTCTCAGAATAAAAGAAACGGCTTATCACCCTAACCGTGCTTATATGAGCCGATGAGATTTTACAGCGATTTTTCTGTGTACGGTTCGGCACGTCATACACTTTCTGTTGTGGACCGTTCGTCAGTCGTTGACTCGGTGTCAGAAGGCCTAACTGTCCTGTACCATTGGTCTGTTAAAGCAGACATCTGCTTCGCACCATCATACACGTCCTGAAAAAGGGATATGAAAGCGCTAGCCTAATGTAATCGAAGCGCGTATTTGACATGTGCAATCAGACGCACATCAATTAGACTTAATTTGGATATAGTACGTTTAATACGTTTAATTAAAGTAACACTTACACGGTCAAAAAAAACTAAACCGAAAGAGAGATATAGAGTGAGGAGAAAGTATCATCAATCTAGCTAGGGTATTCGGTGTCTAAGTATATTTTGGTTCTTAACTCTGTTAGCGTTAAATTAAATACCAACCTGAGGGGTGAACCTTCGCGTGAAGAACGGCGTAAGATATTTAACATCGAGTCTTGCAAAGCCTCGTAGTCGAGTAACTCCACTACCTGATCGGAAACCGACCTCAAGCTCCTCTTCAGTCATCTCGGATAGATGCTCCGCGTCGATTGCTTGACCCATTTCCTAATCATTTCAAAATGAGAATATCGTAAACACCATTACTATAGGGTATCCGGAAAATTTTTCTGCTTAGCTCAAAGAAAAAACAATTTGCATCTTACTGTGGCTTTACAAAGTGTACAGTTACTCATCGGGCAGTAACAGAATAATAAATATCCTGGAAAGGTTTTATTTTAGCCAGTTGAGGTATCATATTCGATCTTCGGCTTGCCTTCGTTTTCGACAGAGTGATCTTCCTTGCTCGTGTCCTAGCTCCGAGCCGTTCGGTCCTTTCCAAATAGCGCATCATTGGCATTGTGGAACCTCCAATCACAACAATCGTCAGTAAAACGATTAATAACGTCGTTGTAACAATAACGTGGCGAGTCTCTGAGCCAAAGTTAAGATGCATAGCCAGTGCGTACGCTACCGCCCCACGAAGACCTGAAAACCACATGATAAACTAACGCAACGAGAAATATATGACGCACCAGAACAAGATTATTTTTCATAAAGAGTTATCTACAATTTTTGAGACTTGTCGTATTTCCTCATAAAGATGCGTTTTCGCATACTTCTATGATTGCTTATACTATACATTGATGCAAGTGATAACACTGCTAAGTGTATGCAGTATTTTTGGTTTCTGGTCTCCAACCGTCAACTAACTGGATATACGACAGTTTTGGTTTTAACTAAATAACATCTGGATTTACATGTTTATATATTATGTTACAATGAACGAGAAATAAACGCTTTTTATAAATAATAAGATGGGCAGTAGAAACTAAACAAACGAGGAACATATAATCAGCAACCTGTATTGCATACTCGTCATCGTAAGTGTCCGATACCAGCCAGTGGAAATGCGAGGTATGATATTATCCATGTTTTAGGACGTTTGCCGCCTTTAAACTTATCCCGGACGCTTCGCTAAGCTATTTAGTTTTTTCTTTTTGCTTCACACACGATAAAAACATCTAGATAAATAATTTACTAGATGTCAAGCGTCAACTTGTTTACATGTCAAAAGAACATACCTGCATCTTGTTAGTAATACGATGCTCTCGAAAGTGATTAAGAAGTCCGGATAAGGGGTAAATATTTGCAGCACGACCCGCGAGGCAAAGTGCCAGGCCAGCTATAACTAGGCCTGGTTGTATGCTTAATCGATGACTAAAAATAGCGAGCCCAAGATAGGCAAAAACAGATGTTTCTGCCATCAGTGACAATGTCCGCAATGTCTGCTGCATTGTGATCTGAGTTACGGATGACAGGTTGAAATGCGTATAGTGTGACATCACAACGCCGTTAAATAGGATAGCCATTATACCTGCAAAATTATTTATGTAAGATTAGAGTAGAAATTCTCTAATCAGAGTAAGAGAAAGGAGGTGAGATGTGTTTCTCAATCCACTTTATCTTAAGTGATAATTATTGCGAAGTTTCAAGTACTGATCACATTACTTTGATTCCAATTGTGTCCAGTGTTTCAGAAGTTTTGACCAGTTTCATCCAGATAGCGCTACAGATTTCCATCGTTGTATATTATTGTTCGTTTATGGGCCGAACTTTTCGGACCACAAATAGGTTGTACACATACCAGATAGATGAATTCCTTCAGCCAATCCATACGGTGCATAGATGAAGACGAGCATGATACCGAACTCTATAGATGGATGTCGCCGTAAATCGACGTACTTCAACAACAGAGCCGCAGCGAGTGCGAACAATGCTCCAATAACGGCTGACCCAAAAAATACAACGAGAAAGCGGCGCACAACGTATAGCGCAACTTCCCCTGCTGTCATCTCCATCATGTGCGGCGAGCCAGCCTCTAGAACAGTCCTGAAAAACGAATCATGGATAAATAGCAGATGCAATTGAATGAAAAATAAGGTAACTCGAATCATGTAAGTAAGCTATCAAAAAAAAAAGTAAGCATCAATTATTTTTCATAAATAAAATAAATGCAATATACCCCATTAGTCGTACAGCGGTAAGAACACGACAAAATCTAGCTCTTCGATCTAACGTTCTTATTGGATTCTATGAATCCATTCATTTGCTCATCTAGATATTTTTATAGACGTTAAAACAGCGGAATTGAGTTTTTAGAAATCGTCGGCGGCGAGAATTATTCACGGTGTCTAAACAGAACCTTTTTGCCACATTTCTCGCTTTTGGCTTAGCTCACCTTTCATTATAAGACAAGGTCACTCTATTTCGAATCATAAAAGCACGTCATACACTATGCGCCAAGATAAATTGCCTGCAGCTTAAATTAACTATTGCAATAAGCTTACTGTCGTAACCAGCACTTGCACGTGTTGAATAAGATGATCACTTTACTTACGTAGCAAGGACAATAGAGACAGCGTCGTTGAGTATAGACTCTCCAAAAACGAGCATGTTTAGCACAGGGTCAACATCAAGAGCGGCAAAAATCGCTAGAGTTGCGACCGGGTCTACAGCGGAGATCAACGAGCCGAACGCTAAGCTTTCCGCAAAGCTTAGCGAATACACTAGATCGGCCACACCTGTAAAATAAACGCAAGTTCAGTGGATATTTCGAGCAATACGGAATAATTAAACCCAACACTCTTTTAGCTCACTTCCAAAAGTAGCAATATCATGCATCCTAGAAAAATGTTTATACTTCCAAAGTAAGAAGCTGCATTAAATATGGCATCATTTAATGAAGGACATAAAAGCTTTAAATGATCGAAGTACGCTCTCAAAATGATTGCCAATTCACAGGGGCGTCAGTCTTTACGAATAAAGGTAGTTGATGTTCTTTAAAATTAAAAAATCAGGTCAAAAAACTCACCTAAAATGTAGACTCCGGCTCCAATAACCATAGCAGATACAGCCGTGCCTAAAATAGCGAAGATCAAAATACTTCCAATGTTGTGGAAGAAGTTCCCCTGCAAGAAACGTATATTACGGTACCAACATCCAACAAAATTAGCTTAAGTGGCACTTTCTTCGCTAATCTTGAAGATTCACAAAATTAAATATGAGGCTCAACAGGAATTTCTCATAACAAGAAAACATGTTTGTACTTTATGCTCCAAACATTATACCCGATACAATTATTTCTTACTTCGAAAAAGGAGATTTTGTTTAAGGCTCTATTTCGACCGTTTCTATCGTGTTTGAGGAAAAATGGCACTGTACTGTGATACTATAGTGCACCACAATGTTAGGTTTACAGTCGTTTCGTGCCATTATACAAAGTGGGAAAGGCACCACAGACCTTATAAGCTTATGAGCAGACCTTATAAAGTGCGAAGAGGGGCACTGTGTATGTGTCTTTTACCTTATGCAAATTGTATCCTGATTCGTAGATAATAGGTGGGAGGAGTACGAGAAAGAATGTCGTTGGCGAAAATGCTTCCTCCTGTTGCCAACCGTCTGCCCCAGAACATCCGGACACGACTCGAAGAAAAAGCCCAATCGAAGCGCCGATCAGAACGACTGCCACTGACTCCGGTAAAAAGCGGAAATCCCATTGAATCAGAAAGTGAATGGACAGAATGCAGACAGCGATCACCGTGAGAACGAAGAAGATTGTCAGAGACGAGAGAACCTGAAATACAGTAAATATAATGATAAATAATATATATATCCATAGGAGTACAAAATATAGAATAAAATAGAGCTAGAAAAAAAAATAGGCTTCTTGTTATGGCTTGAAGATAAGAAATACCAAGTTAAGATTCGTGGCTATGTTCGGCGCATCATTATATAAGTAATGGTATGTCTCTGGGCGCATGCCATGCGCTAAGCATTGTTCTAGTTAGAAGACCGGCTTTTCATTCTGCGAAAGATGCATTTTTCTCATTGTTCGACCGCTCGCCTGGAGAACGGGGTTCTTGGCCTGGTTTATAAGTATCATCTTGACCGGTAAACCTGATGTCGATGAAATTGTTAATGACATGACTACACATAATAATTTCACTCACTTCTTCGTCAGCAGTAGTTCGAGGCGGTATAGCAGGAGTTATCGCTGTCGAAAGTCCGCCGGATTTAGAGGAGTTTCCATCTGCCAATGAGATGGCGTTTGAAAGTGATTCCGTTGTTGAAACACCACCCACGCCTATCGAAGACATCGTATAATAGGATCCCAACATCTGAGAAAGACGAATTAGAAATATATAAGGCAAATTATACCGTATCGGTACACTCAAGTTTAACGTTCCAAACTCCCAATTTGTCATACGACTATTATTCGGAGGTGCGCATGTTCACATTCCGTCTAGACCAACTCACTCATACAAAACATGTACATGCGAAATGTTAATAGCCCCTCTGCGCTTCTAATTTAAAATCGTCCATGTAGATAAAAAAAAGAAAGAAACGTACCAATATTAGAAGGAGGGCAGCAAGCGTTACGCCAGCCACTTTGTACTCGACGAATAGACCCATTTTGTGAAAGCGCTCGAGGCGGCCCCAAAGTTCGGCTATTGTGCTGCCTGAGTTACCACGACCGGCTGGGGATGCGGTCAGAGCGCCGGCACTTGCCCCACCGATGCTGCTAATACTGCTGCGTCCAAACATTAGATCCTCCCCACGTGGTAAAAAAGTCGAAATCTGCAATCAGCACTGAAACGGACACAATCGATAGACGTCAATTCTAGAATGCTTAAATTTGCCATGAATACACAGGCATGTGCACCCCATGGCTGCATGCTACTTCACAATTTTATGGTGTGCATTACGCCTCTCTTTCTTTTTTCTGTAGCTTCTACAGTCGTTTTTCTTAGTTATACTCACTCACTGATATTTCTGCCTGCTATCACAAAAATTTAATGAAGCTTAAACAGCTCGTTTAGGCTATCTTCTAAAAACAAAGCTTTTTATGCTTGCGAACTTAATGCTGACGAACGGGGTCTCATACACACAAAACGGTGAGACGTGTCATACAATCTATGTGAATTAAAACCATATTTTAACTAGATTAAAATAGGCGTCAATGAATGAGAGCGCTAAGTAGATCAAAAGAGTAAGCCGATATGACAGATCTTCCGTTACGTGGAATATGTATATTGTCCATATGCAATCTAAGAAGCCATTGTGAATCAGTTTGTCCTTTCTTGCAGTGCGAAAAAAAGGGACCACCATACTTAAAATGAAAGTAGGCTAAAACGCATTCCATTTATATAACCCGCTATCAGTTTTTATTATAGTACATAGTTATTACTCCATCCAACATTTGAAGTTATTACGCTGTTCAATAGATATAAACAGCCCAGAGCTATTATAATGGCGACACTTACATGGGCGCGCTAGCCGTACCTTGTTTGGCAAGATTAATGCCTTCGGCGTGGCAACACATATTTGTTTCGAAAGTAAACATCCAATGCATTACCCTAAATTACCCAATTGAAATTCCACGCATTAAAGAAACCTGGTAACTAGTATATTTGCTCATTATCGATCAATACCCGTTTTACTTGTTTAGTCTTGTCATCCATCTATCCAGATATCTAAAAGCTGCGACATTTACAAGATAATTACCCTCACTAGAAAGATAATATAAATATTTTAAAGTATCACTTATTATGAATGAGGAAACAATGCCCTTTATAATTCAAATGCATTGCATTTTTTATAAACTAGTTATAGATAACAGAAAGTACGGATAATATTGACGAACAAAAATTTATTCCTTCGAGCATTGGGCAGGTGTTAGGCGAAAATGACATATGTCAAAAGCGCTTCTGTATGCAGAAAAATATTACAAGGGATCAGAATCATTCTTGGCTACGAAACAAAACAGGCATGCAAAAATCTCCACCACGATATTTACCAATACAGTGCCATAAACTAGATTTGCCTTACGCAAATAATAATGCTACCTAATAACCATTTATGAACTTCCAGCTCAGTATTCATAATATTTAATTTAGATAATTAGAGATTTACATTTTTTTGCACTAATAATAATTATACAAGTTAAAAAAAAATGCTCACGCATAGTTCGTCGTCAAATAAAAGTGCCTTTAGAATGATTTCACAAATCGGCATATTGATTAACTAACACACTTTTTTTGCACAAATCTTAACATATGCCATCGTCTGCTGATGAATGTACCTGCGTTAATAAACCAAGCCTGCGTCATAAACGAGACAGAAAAGCCTTCGTAAAATAAAGACATTCGAAGCTAACCTCCTTACAAACGTAAGGCTAAATATTTACTAATAGCTTGTTCAGATCAGCGTCGTATTTAAAATACTTTAATAGTATAATAATATGTAGCTTTCAGTACTTCCCAAGTGGCGAAACTCGTGAACTACAATGGCATATCTTGGATCAGTCAGATTCCACTCCATGAATCGCCCTTGTATGATCAGTGTATGTATATTAATCTACAAAATAAACCGAGAACCTTTTTTTTTTTGGAAAAAGGCCAACTAATAAACTGCCAATTGCTCTTGCTGTTTATTAGTCAGTCGCCACGCGTTCAAGGTGTTCAATTGCGTCAAATCAGACAAGCTAGCAAGAGATTTACAAATGCAAATTTTTATGACTGATACCAACGTATAATATGAACTATTCTATATGAACATATTAGTACACGTACTTAAAAACATTTTCTGTAAATAAACAAATTGAGACACAGCTTATCTATATAATTCATCGCTCTTTCAGCGCAGACACGGCTACATAATCGCGCTTATGCTTACTCGCTCTCTTTACCAATATTTAATAGGATTACCTTATGCTCTATCAACCTAACCTTACCGTTGTAGCTGGTTCTATGGTAGTATTTCCATTGTTCTTGAGGCTGTCCTATGTTGTTGATCAGATTAATCAAACTGACCCGGCCAAAAAAAAGAATCCAGTTGAACTCCGTTGCTACACCAGCGGTATCGTTACGGTCGCCATTTACTAAGCCAAACTGGTACGCGCAGTCAGAGCAGAGCGGAGCTACGGCCGATGTGAAATAAGTTCGCGCCCGAAATTGGTGACGGGTGACTTTTTTAGACTGAAGAAACGGCACCATTCAATAGCCATGATAGAGGAGAAGCAGACTGACGTTAAAATCGCGCTGTTTCTTAGATGCCTGGTCCGCGTCGTCACTGCTATTCTGTACGTACGTATTGAAAATGACAGGCAGCTCTGAGACTAAACTTCACTCCGACACCAAAAACAAAGCCACGCATGGCGCCCACGAAATGCTTGATAGCGGAGCTGTTCGACTGTACACGGTTTTCTTATAGAGGGTGAGCAGTAAAGAGGAGTGCTACGCCTGTGCGCACCCGGTCAGCTGATCATCTGTTAGCTTGAGGTGGACGAAGTTGGATGAATGAGTAGAGATGGAGGCGAAGGTGTTGTTGGATAGCCAACAGCGCGACCGTTTTACAGGAATAGGCAGCGCCATTGAATCCACATAATGGAGGCCTGATACTGATTTGATGAAAAGTTTATAAAGCAGTAACGTAAAACATATTTCTGACAAATTATATAAATATTAGTACGGGGATGTATTTTTAATTTGGGTTCAGAAAAGCATGTGACGTTTCTTCCCTGCCTGCATCTGCAAAGAAACAAACGGAGGTAGAAACAACTATTCAAACTTTTGGCTAAGAAAAAAGCCAACAATACGTGCCACATGACAGATTCGATGAAATAGAGAAGCAAAGCGAGTAAAATAAACTATAAGAAAGTCTATTACAAGCCCATATAATATTCTTATCATCTTTTTTTACAAGATTAAGCCATATTTTGTACGAATCATTTTTATTCTTTAGATAGAGGTTTTCATACTAAATAACCAGGTATTTAATTATCTTTGTTTGGCAGTGGCACCTCTATTTTTAGAACTATACTACTGAAGCAAAGAGTTATCACTATTTGTCCCGTTGCGTACGGTGGCCACGTGATATTTTTCAGGAACTGACATTGGCAACTTTGCAAGCTTTCCTAGTTCTAGCGTGACTTGGAGACGAAAGGTATGTCAATAAACACACATCTAATCTTTGTATTTCGAAATTGGGTTACGATGTAAATAAGAAGAAGTGCTTCAGTTGTTCGTACTTTGATTTCAGCAAAATGTTCAATATAAGTAATTGGCTTACTCTTTACCGATTTTCACATTAATTAAACACTGACTAGTTTACATAGGTCAGGATTAGTTGACAAAACAAACGTTCTAATAGCGTTTCGGCAATTCCGCAGAGGCATGCCCTTCCGATAGACCCAGGATTTATCGCTAGGATCGACCATATTATGCAACTCATTTTTATCATGGAAACTAAAAAATCTTACACAACAACGTGCATGGTACGCATTTTATGTGAACTATCTTACACTTATAAAGGGGCACGGCTGCACCTAAGAAACTACATTGACGTTAAGAAAAAGGCTCATATTAAGTTAGTTCGTTACGCGGAACCGCAGCTCCCTGTAATATAAACTGTAATGTACCCAGCCTTTCAGCGGTGTCAGCATTACAACGATAAGCTGATTTCAGAGCCCACGAACGATTAGAAAGGCCAAACTGTACTGACGAACCTACAGTGAATGTACAGTCTGATGGTTTGCAATCGCAAGAACTGATAGAATCAACAATACGATAACACGGAGAACTTAAAGAATAATGAATTGGTTGTTTAGCCGTTAGAACACGTTATTTTTATTGGCAATTTTCCATGCTATAGACAAAAAGTCGCTTCGTATATATTGGCTCCTTAATGATTTTCTTTAAGTGCGATCCACAATTGTAATATCAACTATCAGTTATTGTATATCAACAGTGTTGCGGAAGCCCACCGCGTCAACAAACAGACTATGTGTGGACACTTTTTATAATTTCAAAAAATAAAGATTTTTGGATGCCGGACTGTTTATACCCACGCAATCACGAACTGGTCAGAAAATACTTTTATTATCTTGAACAAAACTTCAATATTTAACTAGAATCTAGTATCCACAAGAATAAAACTCGTAGCTCACCAAACCGGTAAGTCTAACACACTTACTAATGTATAAGACATTTTTTTTCTTAAATATCTTATTGATTATTATTTCTTCTCTTATAAACCACTTTAATGCATTTCGTATTATTTTATTGTGCCGAAAGCAATGACGCGTACACTAAGTTTATACAGCGTTCGGGAAGCTTGTTTGACTCGAATACATGTAGAAAAAACTGAAACTTCTTTCACAACGTTGTCAATCTTTTGGTCTATTAGAAATTAATAAAAGCGTTTCCATTATTTGTTTTTCCTGTTATGAGAAGTTATAAAATTTCGAAAATACAGTACTTTTGGCCAATCAGTGCGTGTATAAGTATGTCGCCCTCTAACACATCATTCACCTTCAAGGAAGCTACTCGTCTTGTAATAAACACCATTTAATCTATCATTCAGTTAAAATCACGTTAACGATGGGAAAGGATATCGATATACGAGTATGTCTCTTATTTTCACCGTAGAACAACGGCAATTTTAGCATATCAGAGTACTTATACCGTATCTTGGCCAATACGCTTTAATTTACTATATTTGCAGAATTCCGGTCAACAAACATGGTATTATATGGGCTTTAAGAAGTAAGCTTTTTAGTGTGCCTTAACACACAATTATGTGTTACATTTTTTGTCTTAAAGTGAGTCAGATCTGTTATTGCCATATCGTAGGCTATGTTTTTTACGAATGTTTTAATCTAAACAAAAACACAAGCTGGCTTTCAAATTATATGGGAAAAAATCAATTGAAAGGCGCGCATTGACAACTGCTACTGGCTGCAGCCGTCTGCTTCGAACACTTATTCTCCGGTTAGTGCCATCCTTTATTTTCGCTTCAGCTGTTTACATTGGCCGTCGTGTGTTTGTCTGAGACGTTTTGTTGTTGTCGGTGAGCGGCAGTGTATCGATGTGGCCGTCTATGTTTGCATCGAACACTAAATGGACGAAGGGCACAGAAACGCGACCTAATATGTGACATAAGGAATAAGTGTGTATTCATATGTGTGAAGACAAACAGCTGAAATACATGAAGACTTAATAGAAATTGAATGAGACCATGATCTGTGCTCTAGGGCGACAATCAAAAGTGTGAACGAGCCATTCTCAACGATGATCACGTTTCTTTAAGTACGCGATGAGTGACAGCACATTATTTCAAAAATGCTGACCAAAGCTATAAGAGCTCTGAGCTCGTGGGGACTTTTTTTTCGTGCGCATAATAACCAACAAGTTCGATATTTAAATAAATCGCGTTTCGCGCACTTTAATAATATTCAACAGATCTGTAGACAAGGAGGATATGAACCGCTATTTGGATCTAGAACGGTAGGTTTTATATAGGTGAAGCTCATTAAATAGATAAACACATATACAGAGGAGATATTAAATAAAGAAACTGTGCTATAAAAATTGTCAATTAAACACACTTGAACGTTTTATTGATTTCACTTTAGTTTTACTCCTGTGAAAATTACAGTCTAACATAAAAAATATCATTGTTTGGGTTGTTTATCAATAACAGAAGGAAAAAATGACTAACACGTTGCATCAAACGGGCTAGGAGTGTTTACATATCCAAGCGTATGATTTTTATGTTCAGTCGAAGAGTACATCATTTTTATAACCGTCTGCCATTCCGATGACCACTTATTTATCCTGGATCTCTAGAAACTGAACTACAGGGGGCCTCAAAACACGATTTCAATACTATGTGGTGGATGGCAGAAAACGAGCAACTATAACTCCTGCATTTTTGCCACCATTATTGCGCAATAGAAGTGGATCATACTTATCGATTTATCTTGCTTGCGTATGCTGACATTTAACACTACCCTTCAGCCGTAATCGATGGATAAGCAATCATGTAATAATAAGTAATGAAAAACGCACGTATAAGACCACCAAACAGACACCACAAGCTTTTGCACCTGTACGTTTGGCGCTATTCTGTCCGTTCAAGTCCATGCGTTCATTGACGTGACTATCTGCGAAAACAGTAGAGGATCAATTTTTTTAGCACAAATAAAGTTCGGTGGTAAAAATGGCCGCTGCTGCAAAATGAAAGCTGAAAAAAGAATTTTTACAGCACTTACTTATGCATAGTTTAACCTTGTTATTAACTTGATCGTGGTAAACAGGTACGGTATTTTCACGTGCACCAGACATGAGTTCCAACATCCATGCAGTTTGAAGTTAGTGGACTTCCACGACAGCTCTTAATTTCTCGCCACTCATCTCCACAGAAATATTTTACGAGATGCATTTCAAAGTCCGCCGCTGTAGTTCCAACACGGAACTCGCACTTGTAAATTACCCAACTTTTTATTTTTAATGTCTCATTCGCCTATTAAAGGCACGAGTGAAGATATCAAAGGAAACAATTTTGAATTTAAAAAAATCAAAGTGCATCTTGAATACAAACAAGAGAGTTGCGACGCTTACCACCATTATATAAAATTGTCATTTTGAAAAATGCGATGAATATTTGTGACATTTCATATTAAGCAAGCTAATATTTTTACGAGCACGGAAGAAAGTTCGAAAATACGTGTCTACAGAATGTACAGAGTGTGACACCTAAACTGGGACTTTACCTCATTTTCCGTTTCTAATACAATATCTAAATAAATAAAACTATTTTGTCAAATTTATTTCAGCGTACTAAAAGTGTCATTCATTACAATCATACTGATTGAATACAATTAGAATTAACTATGATTACAGCCTCAGTTCGCAACCCGCAAGAGTCACTGCTGATTTTCAAAATATTTCTCTTTATCCGCACATATTTTTTTATAGTAACCTTGTGTCAAACGATATTGGTAGGTATGAACGACTTAAATCGTCACTTAAGTGCGCTTCATACTAAAAAATTCAGTAGAATTACATTTTAGACTGATAACAGATTAAAAATCCCAGAACTACAGGATCTCAAAATACGTGAAAAGCTTTAAGAATATAGCAAGGCGCGAAGAGTCTAAAAAGACTAACTGTCGGAGCTCATCTGAATGCCCCAATCGATAGTTAATGTTCTCCGCTTCTAGGCGGCCTTTAATTTCTGCATTGAAAATCCATGTGAATCAAAAGTAGATTTTTGAGCTATTCTGATTAATTTTCCACCCTTTTAGATTTAAAAGCTATTGAGACTTTTCCGATTTACCTCGCGGAACGTAGTTTTTTTGAAGATAGTTTCAACTCGAATCATCGAAGACACATTAGAACTCGATACGAACTTTGTAAGAAAATTAAAACGCATATCTTAATATAAATTGGCATACGGTGGACCAAAGCAAAAAAATATTTCGTTCCAAACCTCTGCTGTAACGTACTGACCCCGTATTTTGTTGCTATATTGAAGTAAGTGACCTCAAGGCGCACTTCTTCGTGCATAATTTCCCGCAGTTAATTCGGATTAGAAATACAAGATATGTAGTTTATGAAAATCATTTTGCGCGCTGCAAGGCCTTCATCTACTTGTTTCTTTTAAACTGTTCATTTACTTTTTGCTTAATTGTGTTATTTCGTAAAACATTGTACTATAAAATGCTCAGTATTACCAGCAATAGCACTTACAGTACCAGCTGTTGTTATATTAGCTAGAAGGAAGAAAGTCAAGATAAGAATGCTGCATATTTTAGTTATTCAAGTTCTTTATACTTTTTGTATTGGTCCAAATTGCTCATTTATACGTACATTTTTAGCTCATTAGAGATTGTGAGACACAGTTTTGCTGGAAACTGTTACCATTTATATCACCCCCGTCTTCCTCTTGCCGACAAACTGATTTCTACAAAGAAAATCACAGTCAAAGATAGTTTCATTACAACAGATAAATATTTGGTTACGCTTATATACCAATACCATTTTTATTATTAGTAAGTTTTATATGTAGCTGACACATTCCTGACACTGGATCACAAAACCCAACTGAAATATAGCAATCATTGCACGATTTTTTTATTCGATCGTTTAACCAAACAAGAAAAAAATGATCGTAAGTTTCTTTCACATTGAAAACTATGCAATAAAAATAAAGTGTCGAATGTCTATTGTATGTATGGTGTTAACAGACTGTTGCAAGCAGTGTGCTGCAACTATGAAGGAAAATTTTGTATAAGCAAATTTTTTTTAACACAGATTTTTTTCCCCATAATATATTAAAGACTGACACAATAAATATTTTACTACAACTAATATTATTAAAAGTTCGTATAAAATTAAATAAAGTAAACGCAAATTGTTATGTTTTGTTGTGCACTAAGTAATGTATCTAGCAATGGGAAACATTTTGTCTAAATATAACATATGGTGGATTTATCTCTGCCAATATCGAGAAATTAATTAGTAAATATTTTAATGTTCTTGCTATTACAGGGCCTCTTCGAATTGCCTGAATTAAGTGATCCAAATGGATTTTACCTGCTTAAGGAGAATGCAATTACCCAGGCTGAGCAGCTCATTGCCGAAGCGATGTACTCTCACAGAAAACGAAAAATGGTTACTTATTTGTCGATTTATTTAGTAATAATCTGCATATATATATAGCAAAAAGGTCATTCAATATATAGAACCCATGCTCAGACTAATAAATTTAGACTTATATTTATACTGGCTTTGTATTTTTTTTCTCACTTTATAGGTGCAGATATTTGATGATCTCTCGGATTGCCTTTGCCGAGTGGCTGATCTGGCGGAATTTGTTAAAGTAGGACATCCTCAGGGGCGCTACGCTCAAGCCGCTGAACACGCCTCGCTGGCTATCTCCAGTCTCGTTGAAAAGTACTTAAAAACAAATATCGACGATGACAATAATTTAGAATCCAATAGATGTACCACTGATACACTTAGAGACCAAGTGCTCTCGTCAAATCTTCTATTATCTTGATTGTCCTTATCTGTTCACCCCAGTTGTCCTAGACTTTCACTGGGCTATTGTAATTAGCAGTTGTTTTGAGCTAGCATTATACCTGCTGTTTTTTTCTGCTATTGTAGTGAATGCGGCAGTTCTAATTGTATTAGAGCAGCATAAAAGACAGAAGCTAAATATTGTCAGTTAGCTTAACATTGTCCTACCTCCTCCTGCCCCTCCCCCTCCCTTTATCTCAAACTTTACGCAAAGCATTCAGGTACTACTTGAGCTGTAGTTATAGATACTAAGCTTGTTCCGTCGCCTTTTCTTATAAAACGTGTTCTTTGCTTGTCCGACCGTTTTAACAAAATTCGATTATACTAACAAATGTTAACCATTCCTAACTATAAAGCGGGATTTTTCACCGGACATGATATATTGGACATAATAGACTTCTAACTTTTGAAATAACATCATTAATTTGATTTCGTCTATTTAGAATCTCTACCGCAGACCGATTCCATTAAGGTTATATACACTCGAGCTTAATATCGTCCCCCTAGATAAAATATGGCTTTTCTAGACAACTCGTATAAGCATCTCTTAGCTTTACAAAATCTACTCGTATAAAACAAGCACTTCAAAAAAAAAAAAATAAAGCATTGTTATTAATTAATGAAGTAATGGTAAGAATATTTTTAGCCCTTTTCCATTGCGATTTATTTAGAAACACAATATATGCGGGGGTGAAGCAGGACGAGAGTATAGTTTCTTTTTCGAAAAATTCGAAAATCACCTTTCAAGTTGAATTTATCCAAGTCCTATATCATTGTCACATATTTGTGCAGTTTTTTTTAATGCTTATCAAAAGAGATCCACGAGATACCTACACATTTTTTCCCAATCGCTATCAAATCACAATTTACGTACCGTGCCAAAGTACAGTGTTGCACAATATAAAATATTTATATAGAGACGCAAAATAGAAATGTATCGTAATGGAGCACAATGTGATTTTTACACTGTTTATCTAAACCAGGCTAAACACCAACCGGGAGCTGTACTCTGCGTTGCGCTCAGTGATCGAGAACGGTGACATCGTACCAACAACCAACGCCGAACAGCACGTAGGGCGATTATTTCTCTTTGATTTTGAGCAGTGCGGCATACATCTTGATGAGGAGCGGAGACAAAGGGTTGTAGCACTTAACGATCACATCCTTTATGTTGGCGGGCAGTTTCTGCAAAACTCTCACCGACCTCGTTATGTACGGCAAAGTGGAATGCCAGAAAATCTACGTGCATTGTAGGTGATTTTGCATCTACTGATAATTCAAAGGATGCAACCGTGGTGGAAGTGCAGTACGTTTTTAAATTAGCTTTAAACTTTGTAGAGTGTTTTATACGCAGAGACAATGATTAAAACAGTCGTTTTAATCATTGCGAAATTTGAAATTGAAATTTTCCGTCCGAAATTTGAAGAGTAATATTATGTTTGTATCTGACCAAAGTAAGAGCTAAATGAAACAACAAGCCTACACAGATTCATTACATGAATCATGATACACGTATTATGCATTTCCGCTGTATCAAAATTGAATATTTTTAGATGCCTAGGTGTAGATACTAAATAGGATCATTCATTAATTACGATGTATCCTCTATAAATAAAACAATGTGTCGATGATTTTGTGATTTCACATAAGTTTAGTTACTCTGAAATATGAACAAGACATTTTCGACCGATCCGTAACTGAAAAACGTGTGTTTTAAATTGTAATGCTTTTAAATTTGTTTGTCCTTCTGCGTCGACCTCGTATTTATAATGCGTACGACTTTTGACGTACCTCCCAGTTTCAATCGCGATGGTAGTGAGAACCTGGTAGTAAGCGGTCTTCAAGCAGACTGCTCTAACGAATTGGTTCGTGAGGCGGCCTATCGAATATATCTGTACCCAGACGACCATCAGCTTGGCCTTCTTGACGAACTTCTCAGGTCCCGTCATGAACTTGCAAGGCTTTGTGGATTTGACACCTATGCTCATCGAGTACTTAAAGGAAGCATTGGTAAGCATTTATAAATATCCAGCTAAATCAGTACAAAATATACCTTATTATTGATAGCTAAAGTACCCAGTCTACTGTCAAAATAGTGATAACAAGCAAGTGTGCAGAGCTTTGATAAAAAAAAAAGTAGAGAAACAAAAAAAAAACAAGAGTTCGCTCAATTAGGTTAAAATAGGACTTATATCCTTATGAAGTGGGGAAAGTCGATTTGTAAAAAATTTGTCCTAATATACCACAGAAGAGATACTTGATAAGTAGGATCTTGAATACTTGGACAGACGAAGTATTTTTTAACAATCAAAAAGACAGTTACAGGTTATAATAAATAACCAATCTATGCCTTGACGAAACTATTTGAATTGAGTTATATATACTGAAATATAATAATGTATAATAATATAATAAAGGTGAGCGATGTCCAAGAACTAAAGGGCAGACTAATAAAGCACATAATGGCCTGCAAAAAATAATCACCTGAGGTCTAACAATGTTAGAAGTCAGGTGGCAGCTCGGGGGAGAGGTCTCTTTTGCATAATAGGATCGGTACGTGAAAGAGATTCAAGGACAAGCGTTGGAACGCTTTTTGAAGGAAGAGCTTAAGTCTTCTGAAAAGTTTTTCAGCTTCGTTAGAACCCAGGAAGAAACAACTGTGAGCTTAATGCAGGCCAAGCAAGCATTGCTTCATGAAGTGGAGGGAAAGCTTGATCTTAAAGCGTTTTTATAATACGATATATAATAATACGACGGATTCGGTATCTTTTAATAAGTTACACAGCAATACAAGTAAACTTGTGTGCGGAGTCAATTTGTTTAACCAGGATTTACTTGCACCGCGTATACTAACCGGTTAATGTAGGGTTGGCTGCTGAAGGACTGATCACTGATGGCCATCACACAGTCTAGATTTGTACCGCTGCATTACTATGTATGGAGTGATATGTAGCGAGAGTCCAATTTATCCAAGTTGTGCTATTAAGAAACCGTTCGGAGAATTGTGACGGGAACAATTGGAATGAGCCTGTGAGCAGTTTATATCCCAAATTCAAGATGTAATTGCGCAGGATAGTGGTCAACACTAAATAAACGTGACCATTAGAAATGACACGTGAATCGCTATGTTGCACGTGGATGAGATGACAACTTTTTTTAAACCAAATTAATATCTGAACTCGAGTACCGCATACTAAAGAGTGAACACCGTACGATTGTCTATCTCCACTGAAAATCATTTGAAAACAAGGATTTCCATAGTTTCTATGATTCATTGACCTCACAGCAATACTTAAGGAACGATGTTTTGTTTATAAAAATAAAGCCAATCATAAATACATAATTAAATGTAGTTGGTCCAACCTTGATTTTCTGAGCATTTGCTAATTGTCCAATTTACAAGGCAAATTATCTTTTCTTTGGCTTAGCGGAAACACCAGAGAACGTAGAAACATTTCTATCGTACCTCTCTGCAGAGCTGGGTCCTCGTGCCGAGCGAGATTATCAAGAAATGATGGGTATGAAGAAAACTCGTTCAAGACACGTGAAACGACTCGAGCCCTGGGATGTTCCTTATTTTACCTCACAGGTACGCATGAATATAAAAGCCAGATTAATTTTTGAAGAAAAGAGAGCTTTTTTTTTTTATCAGTTGCTGAGCTCTCAGATCCATTATTCTGATGTGGTGATACGATATCACTAGCCAGTTTAATCATACAATTATTTATTCGATTAAATTTATTGGTGATTTGGAGCCCACAGCTCGTAGCTGTCAGACAAGTAGATTATAACTTGAATCCTTTAGGCGTATTCTTTCCTGAGAGAATATCCATGTAGGTGTTCTTAGGCAAGTCGAATAAGGTTTTGTATTTTCTGGTAGAATTATGATTATCTATAAATTTTCTATGACAGAGGAGGACTGGAAAACGACTGAGTATGGGAAGCAATAGCGCTTTTAGTTATCTAATCTACAGAGCTATTCTATTCCTCTCTGAAATGCCTTAGGCTAAACTAAATAAGTTTGTATTGGATCCGAGAGAGTATATGGCATACCTAAGTTTGGCGAGCTGTATGGAGGGCCTTGATATGATATTTAACGCGCTCTACGGCATAAATCTCGAGGTATGTATTGACCAGCATTAGTTTAACGTTACTAGAAACGGTTTTCACTTAGACATTGCTTTCAGACTATGTAATGTATTATGAAACAACAATTTGGAAGCAAAAAAATATTTCGACAGTTCTGACAAACTGGTGCGATAATAATGAATAAATAAAAAATGAAATGATGGGATGATGTGAAAAAGATGAAAATGTTCGATTTGCACATCAAGTATTCACTATGTAGCAAGGTCATTATAAAGATGATCTATCTTAAGTTGAACATGCGGCTGCCGAGAACTGGATATACTAACAGTAAAATACTAACTCAGGTCAAGATGTAGAGCAAAAGGCCATATAACTATTTTAATTATACCAAAGACACTGTTGGCTTTTATAGGTTGTGAAGCCGGAACGGGGCGAGCTGTGGCATTCTAGTGTGGTAAAGCTAGTTGTCAAAAATGCCACTGAACAAAGTCGCAATAGCTTGGCATCCCATATGGGAGTTATCTACTGCGATTTATTTGAAAGGCCTGGCAAGCCACATCAGGACTGCCATTTCACGATTCAGGGGGGTCGACGACGTAGTGATGGATCCTATCAGATACCAAAGGTCAGCTGTCGAAAAAAGCTTTCGTTTACTATGTATTCTCACGTTTTTATATATATATTTCGTAACCTTGTAATGCATTTTACGTTTGTTCTATGAGGTATCTTTCAGTATCGATACATTGAAATTTTTTCGTGTATCTATGTTTGTAGGTCTAATTTACGGTGAACGAACTGTAGTAAAGTCAGTAGTCTACCCAGTTAGCTTAATGACTTTTCATGTATTTTCATGTATTCAATCAGGTAGTTTTGATGTTAAACCTTCCGCGCGGTGAAAGTGGGGTACCTCCATTACTAACTCCCTCGCTAATGGATAACCTTTTTCACGAGATGGGTCATGCCATGCATTCGATGTTAGCAAGGACCGAATATCAGCACGTCACGGGCACTCGGTGTGCCACAGACCTTGCTGAAGTAAATCTTTTCTGTCTAAATGAATATGCCTCAAAATAGTTTTGAATAGCGATTAAATTATAAAAGTTTCGATGATGTTATTTGCCATGATTTCCAATCAACTTTATCGAGCCAATTATTTTCAGGATAGTTGTTTTTGTTAGACAATATAGTTGCATTGAAAAATGCTTAGGCTGTTACAAGCTCATCCGACAGACTTTGAAATTGAATAATTTTCGATAGCAGTCGAAATTTATCTGGTAAGTTCTTCAGTCTTCTAGAAACTAGCAAGTGAAATGAGTTTACCTCAAGAGAAGTAAGTTACAAAAAGAAAGCGTTATTAAGTTTCGAAAATCAATGCTCAGTAGTCAAGCTTTCATTCCTAGAAAATCAGAGCGTGGCAAAAATTTATCAAAGATTGGTGAAGATGTTAAGCAAAGGGGCCTGCGTGTCAAGAACGGAAGTTGCCGTTTTCAAAACTAGTGAGCAGGTAGTCAGATGTCCTGACCCGAAGGACAAAAACGTATTGTCGCAGTCGAAGAGGCTTTTTAAGAAAGAAGTTAGAATCCAAGAAGTCTGTCCGTCAAAACTGGCATTTCACATGTAACACATTACAGAAATACGACCTAACTAGTGAAAATGTAATGCTTGAGAGGGACAGGGCGGAAGTTCGATGTCACTCCGGAAAGAGGTCAAGTTCGGTGGCAGTGTCAAGAGATTTCAATGTAAGGTGGCGGTAATACTTGCAGTGGGCACCAAAGGCTGACTATCTCAAGTTCTTGGGGACTCATGGAACATCAGCACGGGAATCGAAAGCACGCAGTCGGCTACTTGATAATAACGGTAGATCTTATTGGCATGCCTTAATTTTTTCCTGGATTGAGCACAGGGGTATCGAACGTTGGCTTCAACTCGTTTATTCTTTCGATTTAAGTCCGTGTAATAACAAAGCTTTCCTTGAATTAAAAAAAGGTAGCTGGTGGCCAACGATACTAGCTGTGTCGAAATGAGATAGGTGAGTAAAAAGTAAAAGAGTGCATCTTCAATATATATTAAAAATCTCTACTGTAAACTAAATTACCCAAAAATTATTCACTTCCGAACTACGCCGGATTCGCTTGTAACAGCCTACGAACCTTGCGCAAGCAGTCTACTGTTAGTGTCTAACAACACGATAATCCATGATAGGTACCTTCCATCCTTATGGAGTATTTTGCATCGGACCCTCGAGTTGTATCAAAATTTGCGCGTCATTATCGAACAGGTGAGCTCATGCCAGCTGAAATGGCTGCTAGCCTTGACGCGTCTCGAGTTATCTTCCAAGCCAGCGAGACACAACTGCAGGTGCGTTGTTGCTATTCATAACTGCGTAAAGCTAAAAAAAATAGTACAGTTAACACGCTAACTGTTTTCCGCACATAAAACGAAAACACTACTCCTCTTAAAAGAAATTTTAATTTATTTCGAATATATTTTGTGTTTTTCCATTCAGTTAATTTCGATTATCATCATTATCCATTGCGTTAATTGCAGGTTTTCTATGCGTTTGTGGACCACGAGTATCATTCAAAATACCCACTAGCTGCGAATACGACAGAAATCTTGCGAGACGTTCAAAACAAGTTAGTATATTTGAAAATTATATATTGCGCTATTTTGTTTACCTAATACTATCATGAGCTAGGAAGAAGCAGTAAATCGATTGTGGTCCAGCGTCTCTCTGATATTTTTGTATCATACTGAAATACATACGACGCAATATTATCGTTTGCTTGAATTAGAACGTCGTATTCACTTGCATAAGCGTTGATTAAGGTTAAAAGTGCATATAATAGAGGAAAGCGTCTATTATCGTTCCTATTATCCATCCATCTTTAAGCGAAACAAGATTACGAGATACAAATTTTGTATTGCGTTGAAAATCTGTATTGGACTTGGCAGGCACTTTGGCGTAAAGTACGTAGATAATACGGCTTGGCAATTGCGTTTCGGTCATCTTGTTGGCTATGGAGCAAAATATTATTCGTACTTGATGTCACGAGCTGTAGCAGCGACATTCTGGCATCGGGCTTTTAACGCCGATCCGTTCTCGCGTTGTGTAGGTACCCGATATCGTGAGGAGGTACTTGCACACGGCGGCGCCCTCCCACCAGCGCAACTTATACAAAGTTAGTGCGGCACATGCTGTTTAATAAATATATGCAGAATGATGCTTTTAATTTGGTTTAACTCAAGTTATTGCATTGCTTTTATACAGCTTTCTCGATTTTTATTTAGATAAATTTATGACTTATATATATATATATATAAGTCACATCATGAAGTACGTATGAACTTACATCATGCTTTGCGTTAAGTTTTGTGTTCTGTATGTGTAACGTTGACGTTGCTGTTACTAGGCTGAAACTTGTTTTTACATACAGTATATGGGGCATCGGATAGACACAAGAGATACTTGCATTGAAATCAAATGCCCTATCAATTCTCATGAGAAATTTTTAGGAGTACTAGAAGTTAGCTTTTATCCGTAACTTTTAAGTTAGCAATTAATTCTCTTATTAACTTACTCGTTAAGACTATTGGCATCACAAATAAAACGATACTTTTCCATTGTCGATTGTGCCATGGTAAGCAACGAATATTATCGTAAAGATTCCTGTAAAGCTTCCAAAGTAATCTATATGTTTGGTCTTTGCTTCAGATTTCCTCAGCATCGAACAGTTGGATATTCAGCAGCTAGCAGAGTCGCTTATTCGGGACATCGATCATAGATAAATTTGTAGTTACATTTTGCGAAATAAAAAGTCGTAAGGAGCACGGAGAACTAAATTGAAGTTAAACAACAAAAAAGTTATAATTGTTTTATAATATATAATTGTGTATACATGGTTGTAAATAAATGGTCAACGCTTTATTTGAATACGTAGCGTATTCGTGATAATTAGTCTCTCTTTTTTTTAGAACTCCCTGAGATAAATGTAGCCCTTCAATACTTGAATCAGAAGTTCATAGGTTGGTCTAGTACACAATAAAAAGTCAGAAGGATGACTCGAATAGCGAGAAACATGTGCACATTTCTCTTTTTTATTATGTATTGACATTTACTTATGTAATTCACATGTATTATTTTGAGATATCTGTCGAAAAAACACTAATAAATCATTCGAATTGACATGAGATGGCTGACTCCCTGTACGACATGCAGTATTCCTACGCTCAGTATCGAACGGCCTCATGTGTCTTTAAGTTTAGTGGGTAGCCACGGCACCATCACGGGGACATTTGTGCCTTGTGGACATGCATGTCAAAATTTCAGTGTTTGAAATAAAGCGACAGCATCGTAAAGAGCTTTTGGCCGCAGTACGGACCACTTCTGTTGAATTCTGACACTGAGACACACACAGATATACAATTTTCTAAACATATTATCACTGTGGTATACTAAATAATTTAGCTGACGTACTCATGTAAAGCTTTACATCACACAGAAAGTATAAAAGATACTAAAAATATATATTAGCAGCTTCTTAGACCTTAGGTAAGACCTTCTTGGCTATGTTCTGACACAGGTATTTTACATTCATACAAAGGAAAAAAAGCTTCACTGTTATCATTAAATATAACATATGCACCTACTTTCGTTTTGTCTTATTTACTTTTTTAAGTAACACTCGATTATAAATAGCTCAATTAACAACTAATTAATACGTGTTTACATTTAAAGATATTTATCGTTATTCTACAGAAACTTTTCCTGTTTTACTAATTTCTCAAGCGAGCAACACACTTACTCTGTAGGACTCAGATCTCTTTTTTGGAAAAGACATTGGCATTTTTTTGGACATCGTGTTTATCGTAAATATAAAAAACAATCTTGAAGCAACTAATCATGAAAAATATTTTGGAGTTCCTTTTTACATGTCTATTAATTACTTTTTATGTGAGTGAATATTAAAATAATGAATAACGCAAATAATTCGATTAAAAAGTTTTCCCCTAAATACCCAAAAAAGCCACCGATAAAATTAATTCCGAACCCTCGACTCCCTTTATTTCTACTCCGTAAAAAGTGATCGTAAAAAAATATTGGTTAACACCTACATTCCATATATCTATTAGGTATTTGTTACGCAATAGGTATTGACTTTGCACATATGTGTTTGCTGCAACCTTGTAGTAAAAAAAAAGTAGAAAAACTTAGATGGTTACCTTGCAGCCGAGTGGCTAATGTTTAACTATTAATTTAGTTTGTAGTTTTATTAAAGTACTATTGCATCGGTGCAGGGCATCGTCTATTACTCTCTTTATGATAAAGTTGATAAAAATTATGATTAAGTTGTTGGTGCACCGCTTGGATGCATACTTTGGAGATTTCGTGTCTTGTCCGCTATTTGGCAACAAGATTCTCTTTGATACTTTAATAATATGTGGGTAAAAATAGTAAGAGTATTTATTAATATTTTGCTAAAAACACGAAGTTGATGAATTCAGCTAGGCTAGTACAATAATAGAACTTACCAATGCTGGACCTTGGTCTCTAATGTAATCTTTTTTGTTGCTCTTTCTATATGTTTAATCAATCGTCTTGTTTACTATATATACACTTTTCGTTGCTTATCTCTGTATTAAATCTTTATGGTGTAGATACAGAAGCCTGCAAAGATAAAAGTCAACGATTTATTCAGTTAAAATTATTTGAACTCCAGTGTTTAATTTTTGATACACATTTGCTCCCTTTTGATCAACATGACGATATGTGTGACCTTGAAATGTTGTTACCACATCTATTTTTTGTTAATTCTTTTAACTACTATTTTTTTTACAGTGAAAAGGCAAGTACGGATGCCATCTGTTAGCAATCGGTGAAGATGGTTTAACGTTATAGAGTTCAAGTGAACAACTTTCATTTTTTTGACAAGGATATGCATCGTGTGGCTCGTTGGTCTAGGGGTATGATTCTCGCTTTGGGTGCGAGAGGTCCCGGGTTCAAATCCCGGACGAGCCCATATTTTCCATCACATTTTGTTTCCTCGTTTTCCTTTCGTGTCTCTTTACTTTAAGGGCATCTATGTTTCGCCATACGCCAGTTTACTTTTAGTTTAGACAGGATTCTGGGTAACTGGGACATAAACAACTGTGTTGGGCTTTGTTAAAGACGTAGGTTTTTGCGCACGCGTAGTGAATCACTGTTTGGCTACTATTCTCGCAGCAATCAGACTAGTGGCAAATTCAATTCGATCATTACATTTAAACTTATCTTTTCCATCCTCTGGCACTGTAAGGATAAGAAATTAATTAAAAACTATAGCTTTTTTGGGCATTTTTGTATTTAATAATACGGAAATATTTTTAATCACAGGAAGAGTGATAAGTACGAGCATGTATAAGGGTGAATATTCTTTATTTATCTAGATTCACATGGATTTCCTAAAAGCGTAACCTAAAAAGCAGCTCTGGTATTGCGCAATAGATGAGCGATATATATTCAATCGCTTATCGGTATGTTTGAATGTCAATATTATTTCTCGGTATATTTTTTAAAAGCAACACGCTAAGGTAAAAATAATTAAGTAAAAGTGAGGTTCCACCGAGATTTGAACTCGGATCACTGGATTCAAAGTCCAGAGTGCTAACCATTACACCATGGAACCGCGGCGTGTGGCCGATCCTCCTTTTTGAACCAGCAGTTGACCTACTGGTCCCGTAAAACTTAATAGATAAAATATAATTGTGTATTCGAGTTTGTACAAACTCTGACTTGTAACTGGTAGATGAACAACCCAGAAAAAGCATCGCTGACTCTCCAAATGTTCGATCAGAAATGAAAGTTCTGAAATGACGGTCCAAAAATACAGTAGGATGCAACTATTCATCTACCACATATTCTTGTAACTAAATGCCTCATTGCCAATAAAAATTAATAAGAACTACACCTCTCCACGTAACCTTAAAAATCAAATACAAATGTGTAGTAAAAAACAAGGTATGTAAGTAGTGTAACTTTAAAATGTTTATTTTTAAGATACAATGTGTTTCTTCGAAAAATGGCTGTCTACACTCCTAAGGAAACAGGATATTGAAATTATATTGGTAGATTTAGGAATAAGTAAAATTCGTATCGCTTTTTGAATTACTTACATTTTCATAATTTTATATATGTTTGCTTTCTATCTTTTTATGATAAGAAATAATATCCAGAAGTTTGGGAACAATCATTCAATGTTTATGTAATATGCTTCAATATCATTAAACTTCATATACAAGCTATATAAACTTATCAAGCATTTAAGTAGGACAAGCATCTAAATGGACGAAAAAAGACTGTCTAAAGGTTCAATAGCTGACCCATTAAGCTTCTGTTCTATCTTTGCGTATATTGGTGGTCACCACCTCCTTGTAAGCCTAGTGCGTGCAATTCAGAAGCACATTAGGATTTTACGTGTGTTTTTGCGAAAACCTTAGCGGCACATCTGGCCATTAAGAGAAGCTAGCTCGTACATGTAGCAAGAAATTTGCAAAAAGTTGAATATCTTATTATTATTATATTGATCAGAGTAGTAAATGCAAACATTATTGACTTTAGGGCCCAAGTAAACACAATAGATGAATAGTCTTACCATGCCCTTTCTATCAGGTTGTCACTAAATAAATATTCAAGTGTTTTCAGGCAGCGCAATCTATCTACGTACTACTGTAATGTACATAAATTTCATACTGTTATGGAATGTATTATTATAACGATATATACACATATATATATATTCACTTATTATATATTCAATACAATAATCAAAATTTAAATTTTTCCGCCACGTCCTCTCCCCTAAATTACAGTATGTTTCTGATTCTACTGACCTTAAATTTATGCTGGCGGTTCATATGATATTATCTAGTTGATCAATAGACCAATATCTACAATTGTATAACTCATTAAACGTTGCATTTTTTCAGACAATTTTGTGGATGCATTTATAGTGTTTGTGGTGCCGAACAGGGAGGCGCGTACACTAGGGTCCCTATATATATAAGACAAGCGCGTGCGGTAAACGGAGACGCGGTGCGATGAGTGTAGTGTGGTATTGATCGCCGACGCTGCTGCATGTTCCGGTTTAGGAAGGCGCCCTCATCGTCGTGGTTATGCCCTGGCGTTCTGCGGGCTCTGGCTCGCGGGATTCTGGTAAGCTGCCATGGTGGTAGAGGGGCTGCCTCCCCGCGACTGTGGCCCGCCGGTTGCAGATCTGCTTCGCGAAACTCATCCCGACAAATAGATTGCTCCACGCGCTCCCGTAGCACCTCGACTCATATCGAGGAGGCTCGGTAGAGCGCTGCTCTAGCGATTGGTAGGCGGCTGGTGACGAAATCATAAAGTCAGTACTCTCTTCTGAATCAGGCTGTGGTAATACTGGCACATCAGCGCGCATCTTCGTCCCACTTTATTAGTGGGTGGGTGCTTGATGTACTCACGTATCCACGATTCGTTGTTGATATCTCGGTGGTTGTTAGGTCCTCAGGCGGTGATAATGCTGCAGTCCTTATCCGGCCCGCGGATTCCCTGCTTGAATATGATCTGAAGAACCGCTGAGGTTGAGCAGAAGAGTCCATGACCACTCTCTCCCCCCCTCGATTATGGGCGTCTCCACTCAAATGGCTCTGTCTGGTATTGTGATCACCGGATGGGTCGCCTTTCCTTTCCCCTTGTCCACGAAATTGCTCGTAAAACCAAACTCGCTGTTCAACAACATTCACCTATGGGGCAGTTGTTCTTGCTAATTGACTATTATTGACTGACTAATCGTCGAGTAAATACTTAAGAAGGCGTACTTAAGAAGAACATGTCAGAGCTCGGTTAGTTACGACGACGGAATGCAGCTGCTAATGGGCTAAACTTGAGAATTTAATAACGACATCTCGCACCTAACCTACAGAATCACCACCGCTAAAACTTTCAAAGGCTTGCCCGAAAATGTCACTAAGAACAATCACATTTCATTTCAATATTAATACGACGAATTAATACGTCTTAATTAATACGTATTCTTAATTAGAAACTATACGCTATTAAAACAGTTATGTAAAATTCTGTATGGAAGACTCGCGTTTTAAGTAATGTACGTTTGTCATCTTCAACGCTTTTTTAATGTCTGATTTGAACAGCACAGAGCTTTCTTATTTTCCCAAATTCAAGTTAAATCACAGCCAGCTTAAATGACAGTAAATCTGGCTGCATTGAATGCATTTTTTTTTTGCAAAGAGACCACGGACTTGCAATGTATATTTTACTTTGCTCATTCATTTTCAATGCTCATCAAGTTTCTGCAGACAAGTAATTTTTTGTTTGCAATCCCACCGACAATGTATTGCGCAATTTTCATATTATAAACAAATTTCAATAGCTTCGAAACGTATGTGGATATTTACTTGAACAGTCTGATGACATGAGAAAAACTAACCGGGCTCGTTCGAAATTTCAACCCAAGGCCTGTCGCACCCGAAGCGAGAATCATTCCTCTAGACCAACGAGCCACGCGAGTATGTACCTAGATAGAAATTTTTAGCCTTCAAAAAAATACTAGGAGGATGAGTCATATACCCAGTTTTTAACTCGAGATTTTTAGTGCCATGCTGGGAGACAGATATCCCTTTCAGCCTAGATTACCAAAGAGAAGATCGCATTTTTAACATTGTGTCACAACTTTTGCATATCATACTGGGTCCAAAAGTATTTTCTACTGTAGATACACGCATCCATTTTTTAAGCTTATTAATAAAATCTATACCTTCAAATTTAACGGACTCTGATACTAGCGAAGGCTAGCACAACAGTGATTACAAAAAATGCTCTCGATTCCCCCATTTGTCAAATCATGTTTAGTCCTGTACTTTGGCACAGCCACAGACTGTGAGCGCAGAAAAAATTTTACATGTATTTATATTTTAGTGATTAAAATTAAACGACGAAATGGGGCAAAATTTTATAGGAAAAACAAAACGATTCACTGTTGCGTATTTGATTAAAAACATGAATGGCAAAAAAGCATGTGCACAGTTTTTTTCTTAAGCACTCGGCAACCATCAAACACCACTTCCTTCTTAAGGAGGTACGATGATGCGATTTCTTAGATCGCTTTACGGGGTCAAAGACTCCACTGAGAAGACAGAATTTGTTAGTAAAATTTAATACCTTAGGCGTTTATTGTAGTTTTGACAACTTCAATGAGGAATCCACAACAAATTAAAATATTTATAAGTTCTAAAATATAAAATGTGCAACTCATTTCAAGAATACGTTTAAGCTGTAATGTGTTCAGTAAAGCGGTGTTGGCTTACAAGACGTTTTAAAAAAACATTTTTATATAGAATGTTTTCTCTTAACGTTTAGCTTGTGATGACCAGATCAAAGCAAGAATACCGCGTATATCGGCATAAGTGCAAGTAATATGAGTATGTTTACAGCCTAAAAATACGTCATCAAGGATTTGTGATTCTTTCTTTTGTGCGCGTCGTATGATGAAGATCACCGCTAACCCCTGCGGGCATTGAATTTATGTGTCCATATACAAGGCGGAGCAAAAGTTTTTGGATAGTTTAAGTTTTTTGACAATTAAGAGGTATTTATTTCATATCTGTTCGAATATAGCAAGAAATACATAGATGGTTGTAGTAAAAGGCGGACTCAACTGTGAAAAAAGGTACCCTAATGACACTCCTATATGTCGTATAATATTATACTGTAATGTTAAAGCGCTGGTACATGTCTAAAACGCGATTGCTATAACAGTTGTAATAATTCAAATTATTTAGTCGACTAATAACAGGATATAACATAGTATGCTTGTCACATGGTGTTTCAGGAATATATTTAGGAAAATACAAATGTGCTGCACAGTTAAATCTTCACTCCATTGGAATAATGTGCATATATCGTGCTAGATTTACAGACGCGAAATGAGTTTTTTGAATGCCCAGAAATGGTTTGATGTATATAGAACGTGCCAAACATAACGTTATGATCAGGCATGATCATATATTTAATATAATATTTATTAACATAATATTTAAACTATAGAACCTTTGTATTAAAAGGAAATCACCATTTTCTGAATGCGTGATAAAACAAATGCTAAACACCAGTCACTACTAACTCTTAAAAAATAATGGTCCAGAAAATCCAGTGCTGAAAATTTAACACCATACTGTAGCTCATGGTAAATTTTAATTATGCCTACGCGTAATATATTAATTTGCAGTTCCAGGAAGTGCAATTATGGCGACTAATTGTATCATTTAATACGGTTTTATAGTTCTAAACATTTTCTTCAAACACTGCGTGTCTTTATTATATTTCTTTAAGCATCGTGCGCAAAATTGTTTTCTTCGGTCTGGATCATCTTTATCGTATGCTAGGTACTATTGTTAGAGTTTAAATTTTCCATTTAAAACGTCTTAAAATGTAATGGATACTTAAAATGTAATACCAACTTATGCTACAGGTTTTAGGATGCTTCGTTATAACTCCCTTCTTTCAATACTCTTTCTTAATCGATAAGCTTTGGTAAGATCGGTAAAATTATTGATGTTTTTGATCTTTTGGAACGTTGTCTATAAATAAATCCATTCGTTTTAAGCTTATCTTTAACTCGACTGATTGTAAGTCAGGGTGGATTTGCCTGAAAGATTCTATCACTGTCCTTGTACTTCTGCTAATATTCACACGACACCATTTCGAAACATATTTTTTTGTTTGAAAGTAAGTCTTGTTTCACTCATAATTTCCAATTAATTAGACCTAAAAAAAGGAGAATCGGGATGTTATGGCTCGTTAAGTAGTGTATGCATTTTTGGGACACTTTTATATATATACTAAATGTTATAAAAGCCTGAAGTACGGTTTTAGGCTTTTAAAAAAGTTCTCAGTATCGTACTATAATATTAGGAAACCCATTATTTTTAATTTTCAAAGAGCAACATGATTAAAAGGTGTATGTTTGCTTTTTAAAAAATACAGTCTGATCGTTTTTATGAATGTTATTACTTGTCGAACTCATTTATTATCTGAGTTTTGCGAAACGTTATGACATACTTAATTATTTAAGCAATATATGCCGCTGGTGCCGATGGACAACACAACAAATAATAGATTTCGGAATTTTCACTTAATTCAGAAAAATGAAACAAAATCGATAAATGTGAGTTAACGTTAGAGTGAAACTTCGATCAGATTTCGATTTTTTGCGCGTGCGACTAATTATGTACTTACATTTCGTACAAAGATACAGTAATATTGAACATGAAATTTCCATTGTGTTTCAACAATTTCCATTTTTTATTCTTACATAATGTCTCTAAACATACACATGTGCAATGCGCATAGGTTTACAAATAGTCATTGTACAGCAACAAGGAGTATCTTCTCAGCACAACAATGAATATAAGGTTCTAGATAATAATGATTCTAGTATCCCGCTCAAAAATGTCTGAATAAGATGGATAGTTTGACTTATACAACATACATATTCGTTGCTCGAATGCTATCGAAAAATTGTCATTGATCGAATACTTCCGTGTTTTCCTGGGTCATAGGTTGTGGCGATAGGTTACTACTGTACGTTGGCTATTCTAAGTGAACCTCCATTTGTAAAGTATGCTAGAACTCTTTAAGCGCTATGCCACCATAACAATTTATAAAAAAACCTGAAATTCGGACAAATTCCTCGCATAAAACGTAATGTAATTCGCTCGCAACCCTAATTCGCTTCTTACATAAAATTCAAATTTTTTTCTACACTTTGTTGCAATATGCATTTTTACTCGTGCCTACTGGTCTTGCGTGTGCGTGGATATGGTTGCAGCTCGGGGATTTATATAGGTCTTTAATAAGAAACGCACTTATAATGACAAACGAAGAAAACTTCACAAAGTACTTAGACAGATAAAACTGTTCGATTATTGGTAGACTCAGATAAGCATTTAGGCAATTAGACTCTTCGGCAGAGTATCCTAATTTTCCTTTGTGGTCTACTTTCTTTAAATCAATTATGAGTGTGAGAAATCAGCAGTGTCTTCTCGTTAAACTCGAGAGGTTACACACACCCCAAATGCACTACCAATTAACTAAAAACGAAGCAAATAAAGGCTAGTACAGTATTGGTCTTCAATATATTTTTAAAAGAGGCTCCTGTATCTTTTCTATTTTACAACAGTTGAAAACAGTCGTTCTCATTCAGACGCAGTTTTAAATTTCTCTTGAATTTAACAAGCACGGTCTATTTGGTCTAAGCAGTCCTGTACATCTTCTCCTTCTGGAAATTTGACTACACGACTACAAATACATAATTGATGACAACTTAATTGTGGCCTACCTCCGCTCTGTACCCGATAAAGTGCTGTTTCAAAGCCTACTTTTACAATACCGTTTAAGCTCCTTTTTTGTTGGACGTCAGGTGTGCTGCTGTTTCTAAAACAGGCTTTGGCGTAAATTCTTGTTCAGTAGGCAGAACAGCTGCTTTGGATTTGAACATCGGAAAAGCAAACTTGTTGGTATTGTGCAAAAACTTGCCGCTTATATAGCCAACGGCCGTTCCTATCAACGAAACGGCAATGCCGATTCGTACGCCAGCTACCGCTCCAATCGGTCCTCCCGCAATTAAGCCGGCCACCGCACACGTTGCAGGCAAAGCTGCCGTCTTAAAATGTCGTGCCTATAATACCAAAGTAAGAAGTGATAATTAATAGGAGCTCCGCAGGAAATGCTTGTGCCGCCTACCCTGGTTAGCTTTTATTCAACCGAAACTAAAATATTCGTATGTTATGAAGGCAGTAACCATGGCTTGAGTATAATTCGAGTAACACGATCCAGCAGGGTCGTATTTGGAGTATACGAACGTTTTCGAATTATTGGTATCTTCAGAAAGTGCACGTATCATGGCATCACTTTGACTTTTCACAAGGTTAATGTAGTACCTGTCGAAGCATTTTTTCGCCAGTACTGACTTCTAAAGTGGCATTCTCGACTTGAGCATCAATCTGTTTTATCTTCTCTTCATCAGTAACAATTTGCTGCTGCATGCAATCGATCATGTCCCTCAAATAGTTAATATCCTTTTCTATAGCTTGGACGTCAGACAAGCGCTCGCGATCGATTTCCGTTTCGAGAAGCAATTGTTCTTCTTTAAGATTTTGCTGAAATTGTAGTTAGAAGATATTTATAACAGATTATTTGAATAGGATCCACATGTAAGCAACTCGGTACTCTTAAAAAATTTCGTATTACCCAGCGCTGAATGTCAGAAAAACTAGTCAGCCATGTAGCGTTCAAATAAGCTAAATGACACGCCATATGTGGTGTGAGTTTGTCCTGGGTTATTTATATCCCTATGAGACTCGTGCTGCATTTAGTGTGATTAGCGAAGTTGCTTTAAAACACGGCTATACAAAACACATTAACACGCACAACGACTTGGCGGACTAAATAAGTTCCTTATATGTCATAACCCACCGTCCTTTACATCGCACACAAAATGATGTCGAACACTTGCTTATTTTGTCTTTAGCTAACGCAACAATGGCAAACATATATTCTTACCTTGTATTCACGTTTATTGAAATCTTCGAATTCAGAGGAAGATGACGGTAAAATTTTATTACTTTGACAGACAGTAGTATTGGTCTGATGTTTTTCCAATGCGGCGATTACTAATGAAGAAAACAAACGTATAATTAAACTGTTTATTAGCAATTTCAGATGTCAGACGATTAAAATTGGAAATCACATAGAATTAGGAAACAGAAAGTGCCATAGAGGAAAAGTTGTCATATAACTGTTTCTGATCTCCATTGACGCGCAAAGATATTGCTTGTATTTACTATAATGACCTTTATTTTCTGTTTTAATATAATTATGTTTGTTATATAATAACAATATAATAATAATTTAATATTTACGAGCGTCTTGTTGTATACTTAAAACTATCTACACCTAAAGGTGGCACTTCAATTAACACATACTTTCTCGATAGCTAAAAGTAATGAATGGATATCTAACTTACTCTTGGCCACAAATATACGAAGACTGGAAAACGGAAGTTCAGTGTACCACCCGTATCTATCAGCGCACTAATAAATATACGCTCGCATAAATCGAATATAGATGAACAAAATTGATATAAAAATAATACCCGCTTTGGCTTCTTCTATTGCGCTACATATCCGTCGACAGCATGGTATAGCTAGATCTTCAAGTCGTTGGATGTCCTCGTCCGTAATGCTACTTCTCATCTTCTCGAGAGAACGAAGATCTTGCATTAAAGTCGATAAGGACTGCTGGACGAGCGAGCGACATAGCAAAGCTTCCTCATCCCAGATGATGCCACTTGCCCAAGTTGACGTTGCCGTGCTTAACTGCAATTGTCGAAACATAGAAGCGAATATAAGTTAAAATATAATACTGTTAATAGCACAACATTGTCATATTACTTCTGACCGGTGATTCGATGGTATTAAGATAACGGCACAAAAAATAAGCCGGTCTGGAGCTTCAGTACGGAAAATGTATGTGTAAAATAAACTGAAATATATATGTCAAGATAGAATTTTTTTTTACTTGTTTTCTTTTATTGGAATCAATGAATAGAACCTGAACCAATATTGAGTTGCCGTGTGCACTACCGGAAATCCGTGTAAAATACGGCCTTCTGCAATTTTTTTTACCAATATTGTCCTTGTATCAATGTATGGAAACCGTCTATAAGTAGTCCTTGTATACTTCGTGAACAACACCGAAAGCGACTAAACCTGTGCGTTCTATAATGTTGTGGAGAACCAATCATGTTGAAATGGTTTCTGGGAAAACAAGTTCTCTTTTGGCCATCATTTTAGCCCCCATTGGCTTCTCGCAAGATAGAATGCGCGAAAGATTAACATTGGCATATAGGTATCGCCGTCAATCGGTTTTCAGTTCGAAATTTCCCATCTCGACAACATGTTTTTAATACTTGGACTTGATTAGAATAGTATTAATTATTTAACAATATTTAATCATAGGTTTTTTCAAAAGATTAAGTCTTTGATCATATTTTTCTAATTGCGTGGGTAAATTTTGGATATAAGTAACAAAATACTTCCATCCTTAGAAAATCCAAGAGTTTGATCATGTTATACGTTTTCAGTTTTTTCCAAGGTGCATTCCCGTGCAAAGAGAATTCTCAGAAAAGTAAGTTTTGCACGAAGTGCATTATTTTTTTTGGAAAATACCATGAGTATGAGCTGGTATATTTATATTATATATGCATTCGACTTTAAGAGTAAAAATGTTTTCTGTTAAAGTGGCAAATCATTATAAATAAATTTAGACTAAAAATTTAGACTGTATTTCTGGTACTCCGCAAATACTGATGGCTGGCAGTGAAGAATCCAGATAGCTTAAAGCTGTTATTATAAACGATCTTGTTTGTTTGCCTATATCCTTGCAAGGTATCCGCGTAAAAGTAACTGTGCATTTCAACATAATTGTGCATTGTGTGTTTGAATTTTCGTATATTGTTCTCTATATTAAAATTCTACATGATTAACAGGAAAGCTATATATATATTAAACAAAGCTCGAGTCAAGGTGATTGGATGATTCGGTAGCGAGACTATGTAATAATGATTTCAGAAAGGCACGCAAAGATATATACTTGCGAAGCTTGACGTAGCGCGTCCCGCATATCGTTCAAATGTTTAGGAACTCCATCGTTTACTATTTGATTTAAACCGACAGAGATCTGTTTGAATGACAATTTTCGGGAAGCTTGCCAGCGTTCAGGCTCTTCATAAGAGTTCATTATATTTGCTGATACGGCAGGAGACGTCGACAGATTTGATATAATAGCTCTGCTACAGTAACTAGTGCACTATTGCTGTATCAGATCACCAATTCAAATAAGTCACTATCCAGGCAATTAACAGTAACTACGTATTTTACGTTCAAGTATGCGCACCGCCTGTCATTTTGCTGTCATTCACAAATACCTAATAAATAAAATAAATCTGTCGTGAATCAACGTGTTCTTGTTATAAAAGGTCTATTAAATTGTTACAATGATTTAGAAAAATTGTTTATGAATAGAACACGTAAATGCGCATTATCACTAATATACAAAGCGTCGGATGGATGCATCGAAGTAAACAGCTTCAATATCACACACATAGCGGGCGGCTCACTGACAGGTGAGAATTAACATGTATAGAAAACGCTTAGAAAAAGTTGACAATGCATTTCTGTGAGATTATTTGTTAAGTAAAATTTATTATAATATAATAATAGGTCGAATGACACTGTATGATCATGCCTTAAAAAATATCCGACTCGTTCTCTGTTCTCTAACAATTGAATCTCAATGGCATAAACAAGCGAGGGGGCCTATGAACCGGATTATTCCTTTTATTCAGCTTTACTTATTTTTAAACGCTGCCTTATCTTCTTCATGGTAGTTTGATTATCCTCTAATAAACATGTCTGTATTTGAAGCATTCTCTGTCAGATCAGTTGTTATCAAGTTGGTGTCATTAGTAGATCTATTCAAAATAGTTCCAAGTATTTTAGAAAAAATTCACCAGATTTTGTCTACCTGTATTTTACCCTCGTTGCCTGACAACGTTAAATACGTATTTCAAAGCGTTCTTTCTTGACAGTCAATGATTCGTTAATGACCTTTTTCTAGCAACTAACTTTATTGTTTATAATTTAAACTATTTCTCTCTTATCTAACAAGTCTAGCTGGACTCGATGCACATGGTCCACCGTCTTTCCAATCTTCAAAATAGATCTAATTTCGCAAGCAGTATTACGCAGTATTCTGTACTATACATGCAGGGAATCGAAGACACAGTCCTTCGCACGTTAGCGGCATATGTAAATGTAGAAATGTCGTGTTCCTTTATTGATCAGAGCGTTATACCTTGCACCGCTCAATTGCGAAAATGATGCTTCTAAAAAGCATGAGGAACGCCTTAGACCCCGCGATACGATTGGGTTCAGTGTATGCGCACGGGGATATGCCCTTGTGTAAGAAATCAGTTCGTCTAGTAAGGCGGAACACCTAAGCGGGATAATACCGGCATGATGATCCGGTACTACAGTCTCTGAGCTGATTCGGAACAAAGCTTCAGACGGAAATGGTGAACTGAAAGGTAGTGGTTTCGGCGGAAACAAGTCCAGCTGTCGGGGTTGAGTTTCACAGAGGACTTACTTACGTAAAATAGATTCAGCTCTGGTAGCGCTAATCAAATGTAAACTGTAATAACCAAAAGCTTTAAAAAACATATATGTAATATCTATAAGACTGCTCATTAGTATATCTTAGTGCCAGTAAAACTACTCAGTATAAGCTCTATGCCGAAACATCTATATAGTCGAGAAAAGCGGGTTTTGCTACATCTATTTTCAACCACCCTTTGCCTTTGAAGCAATATAACGACCACTGTGTCTTTGTTTCCAAAGAACGTGCATACAACCTGTACCGTGCCTGGTAACCTGTACTGATTCGTCGCAGCAGAACTGGCTTTATTATTGATGAGTGTACATTTGCTCAAATACAGCTTTTTCGGCGAAATCCCCATATGAGCCAACTCATCTCTTCCAGCTGAGCAGTAAAAATTCTCCAACACATTTAACGTCCTTGTTAGTTTTTTGAGGATGACCTGCCTGTTCTGCAAAAGCACTTTGCTTTGTTCACGCTTTAATTCATATTCCCGATTTCAGGTCACCTATAGCAACGGTCGTTATTAAGGTTTTTCCATGTTTTGCCTAACCATTTGCCTGCTTGGTGTTGCCTCACTGCCTGGTCCCCGAAGACCTTCTGTAGCGTTAGTACTATTTATGAGCATTTGACTTTGTTGTTGACATACGACCTCATTCAGCCCTCTGATACCTGTTTCAGTGAAGTAACTTATCTACGTAATAACGTGATTTTTTGCCAAGGCTGATATCTAAAGGTAGTCAAAGTTGCTGTACTATACGTATTCGCAGTTTCATTTTTATGATATTGAATTTTACGTTAGCATTTGATTAAGCATAAAGACAACTTGTGTTAATTACATATCTTAAAATGAAGCTACATTAAACAGCAGATTATCTTACTTTTTCCAAAACAAATTTTTAAAAATTCATAATATCTTTGTCAGCTAGTTCAAGTACTATTATCAGAAATAATATTATGTTTAAAAAATGCCCCACTGAACTGACAAGAAGCTCTCCTGCGGTTTGTTTACTAATAGCAATCAATCCATTTTATAAATGAGATAATTGACGTACCCTTTGGGCTTTAAGAATGTTATCGAATGTGAGATGTACAATTGCATTCTCTATTCCCTTATCACTTGTTTTTGTACACTCTCAAATTGCTCCGCTTTGAATCGCCGTCCAGTTATATGGGTTACCGCAGCGTGAATCAGGCTGCCATCGTTAATTAACCTGAAATGTTCTATTGTAATAGTTAAGAAAGTAAAAGAAACATTGGCCCAGTTGACTGAATGTCTCCAGCCATCGTGATGACTGTACGTGTCCGTGTTCGTTCTATTTCCTTGAGTTTTACGACCCAGTCGAAGACGTTTCGTTCTGCAGCGCGCTTTACTTCAATTTTCTCGGCAACGTTTCTTCCAAAATTGTGTCGGGATGTTCCGTAATTAATACGATTATGCCAATTTCTGACTGAGAATTGCAGCGACAAGTGAATGCTTGACAAAGTTGAAAGAGGTAATACGATGGCAGACAAATTTTCAAAAAAATTTGTAACCACGCAAAACCGCACTGGAGAAAAGGTTGAAGATGTTGTTCAAAGGAGGTGTCTTAGACGCAGAAGGTTTATGCTGACACAAGTTCACGGTTTTGGTTGGAAAAAGCTTTCGCCATGAAATTTTTGGGTTGGAACAAAGGTGGGTAGGATCGACAACCCACAGTGGAACCGAAATTGGCAAACATGCTGTGTTAAGTTGGATAAAGCACATTGAGAGTACTGTTGAACACTGCATAGCGCTCCATATTGGTACACGAGTATGCAATACAGGCTGCTGATTATATATTCTTCGTTTGTTTAGTTTCTACTGCGCATCTTATTATTTATAAAAAACATTCATTTCTCGTTCATTGCAACACAATATATAAACATGTAAATCCAGATGTTCTTTAGTTAAAACCGAAACTGTCGTATATCCAGCTAGCTTGATTCTACGACGGTTGCAGACCACAAATCAAAAATGACTGCATACGGTAAGCTGCATTATCCATACAAATTTTCAGAGCTAGAAGGCAGAATTAAAGCCGAAAATCAGTCTAAATAGGAGAAACTAATGTATCAAAGTTAAGATGAATATGTCAATAGTAGAACTTCCACAATCAAACGTAGCTAGATTATTATGGGTGTTTGTCCTTCTCATAGCATTCGGGGTGCAGAACATCTGTGTTCTACCGAGGAAAATGCCATATCATCTCATCATGGTGCCATGGTAACCTCTCGTACACCATTTTGCCTGAAACTCGTTGATTTTCCTTTATTGTAGATCATACTCATAACACAATTATTGTTTGATTCGATTAATATCGCTAGCTTGAAGTAATATATAACATTTTTGTTTACAAAAATGATGTACAATTATGGCTCTGTAGTCTTGGTTACGATGTGTTATATGCACCGCAGATAGTTTTTCACGGTTTCAGCTTCAAACCTTACTCTTACAGAACCTCGTACTCAGCAATATGAGGTGTTTAAAAATAGTGTTTGTTATTACTGAGCCTTTCGCAAATAAAGCTACATTGACAGTGATGATACTTGTAAAAATTTCTATTTCTTTGTGGATCATTTTAAATGAATCTCCCTCGCAGCGCCATAACAAGCTCGCACAACCGAGCTTTCTGTTGTCCTGAACCTCCTGTTGTCATGGAAATGTATGAAGCAGCCGCGACCGCTCACCTCCCGCACGCGTCGCAACTGCGTGCGCACACACGTGTTATAGCGCAAATCTGTCCGGAATATAGTATGCCGTCAGATTGCGGATAGTATTCTCTGTACTTAGGTTATCTTAATAACAGTTAAGAGATTCTACGGCCTCGAATACCTGCGCCGGTGCAAACTTATTTACGCCGCGTACGTGGAGAGTATTTTGCTTGAGTAAGACCCCGCCCACTTTCCGCAGTTTACTGATTACGGTGCCGACCGATGGCTTGCTAATGGGTGCGCCGAAAAGTCGGCATCGTTGTAGATTTTCGTGGTGATTGACCTGATGGGATGACCATTGGTTCAACCCTAACGGTTCCCACACAATGCGGTGGTAACAGTTCGCTCTGGACGCTTCCACCAGATAGTGCCATGCTTGTCCGGCGTGTAATCTCGCACCATCCGGACTAAATATAGAAAACTACTCTAGAAGCAGTAAGCAAAATAAGGGGCTGCCGTCTTTCGAATGCTAAGAACATACTAAATCCGATTTTTATTTTCGCTCTTTTTCAAAACTCGCTTGTACTCCCTATTCCATCGCATGGGCTTCCTCTCATTTAACACTGCCAGGGGCAATTCATAATCAGCTAGCTATCCAGACAACTCTAACGGGATTTCAACCCCACTGCCAGTCGTCCTAACGTCGCCATCAAAATGAAACGCGCTGGCCAAGCTTTGTCGTCATAGGCTCACAGGAACCAACCCTTTACAGCCACCCATATCGCACTCGTGTAGCAATTGTTATGTACGTATTTGTATTCTAATAATTTCACTTATCAACAGCTGAAGGGAATCAATTATTGAAGGAGGTCGTCGAGTGAGCTCTCCATTGTGGACCAAGGGTTGAAAGTTTCAAATTTTACCGTAAATAACCATTTGGACCCAATGAGTATAACGCATTTCACGATAAATGTTTCGCAGAAGATCACATCAAAAATACATACGATATATTTCATTTTCGAGCACGCATTTCATGCGAATAGAGGATTTGTATTTTTTTTGATCGATGGCGGAGATAATACACCTCCATAACGATACTGTTTTTGTTGAATCGAACGTCAACGTACACATTATTCAGCTATGTATCGTTTATCAGAATATTAACTAATGTCTTGAGGGGTGTTTATCCGTTGATGGCACTGAAAGCCATATATATATATATATATATATGTATATGTATATATATATATATATTGCCCCCAAATCAGATAATGGTTTTACCTGTTTAAAGGTTAACAAGCCATTCTTATCAGATACGTAGACGCGCCGTGCTTGCCTACCTTAAGTTCAATATCGATGCTGTTAGTAGCATCGATTTCCAGATACACACGATCGGTGTGATGTATCAAGCGACCATAGATTTTCTGACACTGTGTTCAACTACGTAGAATAGCTGAATCAATCCTTAAGCTAACTTTAAGCGTACTGTAAGACCTAGCTATATCGCGCTTGCTTATACAGTAAGAGAAAATAGCCTTTTTCAAGTTATAGATGTTTAGGGTTTATGATATATACAGCGACTAACTTACGTTATGGGGCACATGTCACTGATACTGCACTAGACAATCACGGTCACGTTTTCACAAATGTATAAACGATGGATAGGCAGTATTAACGCTAGCGCGCACCGAAGTGAGTTTAAACCGATCGGATTGACAAAAAAAAAATGCCGAAGTAACAATGAACAACCATTTTTGCATAATAACAAAATATTGTTATCTTGCTCAGTATATCTGTGCAATCGTAAATTCCGTCAGCTGGTCGCTCTCGTATAGACCATGTAAGGAACGTTATCGTAATGACAACACGCAAATAGACAACCATTTCCCGACCTAGTATCTCGAGTTCTAATTATCATACACCTATCAACTATCTCAGTAAGGAAGCAAACGGTTCCATCTTCTTTCTCGAGCTTCCTTGCAGACACGAGCGCACCGGCCCACACCCACATGGGTGCCCAAATAAGGTTCATGCATTTATTTCAAGTATTTCTTTCGGTACTGTCACGTAATTTCTACCTAACTGTCTCGTTTCTTTTAGTCTACCTAAATTATGAGAAAATAGAGTCGACGTTTGGCGGCAGAACTTTCGGGTAAACTTAACAGCCATTTTCTCAGGCCTGTCAGTATGACACAGGATGACACAAGGATAGCTCCAGAAATACTATAACCATCCGGGATTTCTGCAAAAAAAATCAGCTGCCAGACGAAAACGAGGATGATATCGACCGTAGAGCGGACAACAGATACCGGGCCGGCCTGCTCATTTTGAAGGGCGTGTGTTAAGCACAACTGCAATATAAGAAGCAGCAAATTAAGACCATTTACATTTGACGATTCTAAACATATCCGTCCTTGAGGAAACAAGCAAAGAAACAGAGTTAAAAATGATCGTGCGCGCACAGAAATTGCTCATTAACAAAGCGGTCGATCGGTGCAGGTCTATCAATTCAGTCCTCTTAGAATATATGAAATTGCTTAAATTATGCATCGTGTTGATCTAGCAGGCATAGGCGTAAGTCATGTATTTCTACATAGATAAAGAAGGGTACATTCATGAGAGAAGGAAATGACTCACTTGACCAATAAAACTGAATATGCAGAGGATTCCTATTAAGAGCTGATCCATCGGAGAGCGCGGTGGGGTGAAGGTACCGAACAGCAAAGTTATCGTCAATGTTTCAAGAATTGCCACCCATCCGAAGTTTAGCATAATCACAAAGTGATCAATGTCACGTAACTTTCTAAGCAGAACATACACTGCCGCCGAAAAAAATGTCGATAAAAGCGCACTTGCAATTCCATAAAAACGCTGTAATTCATTTTCGGTGGCATCGGCAACTTTTAACGGTGAATTGAGCGTTGTTGCAACGGGTAACGTATAGTTTAAGGAACGATTAGTACTCGAAGTTATAGCCGTAGAATCGCCTTCCGTGCGATCACTTGATGGTACTGAGGACAGGAAAGGAGGTAGTACCGTTTCGAATTGCGTAAGGTCAACAATATCTGAGGTGTTGTTGAAGGGCGATCCAAAAAACAGCGAAAGTTTTGTAATAAGAGCGATACCAAATAATGTGGCAAACGTTGACATCCAATGAAACAAGGTACAAGCTTCGTTAAGAAAAATTTTCGCCATAACACCAACGAAGACCGGTACTGAGAAGATGATGACTGAAGCATCTGCTAACGGCAGATAATGTAGAGCACAGAATCGCAGAAAAAGCGAAGTGCTGCCAGCAAGACCGCGTAAAATTAACAGGGAACGTACGTCTGGTGAGCCAAACAATGGCTGCTGACGATAAAGCACAAACGGAAGCGTACATACAAAGATGCCGATGAAGCGAAGGCACGCTAATTGTCCGGGATGCATGTAATCAAGTTTTTTCACAATAACAGAGCACAATGAGAAGAACATGGACGATGCCGATGCGTACAAAAGGCCTTCATAAAGTCCTGATGGCTTGCTCGATAAAGTGCTTCGAAAAATGTTCGAAACAACTACGAAATTTGGCCCGGAAAAGTTAACAGGAGAGCTTGATGGCATCTGAAAGAGTCGAATCAGAGTAGACAATTATTGGTGACGGATCAGTTGAGTTGTGCACGATCAGAACCGTCAGTACTCAGTCAACCTTACTTTTTTAGTATTATTACTTATCTACAAATTAATGATACTGGTGCAAGCATAACTAAGATCTTCTAGGTACTTAGAGTGGCTACTCTTCGACCGAACCATTATATATAGAGCACAAGACACGATTGTGGTACTTTAAACTGTAGTAGCCTAATAGTCAGGGGTGTATTTATGTCAGTCATTGACCTGTTGGTTGGAACATGACTTATAGTGGAAAAGAACCAGTGCTCGTATGTGCCAAGTTAAAACTTTCTTCGAGAAATATTTGATGTACTTTGAAGCCTTTCGAACCGCTGAAACACGCTGGGCTCATTTAGAACACGTCGACAGAGTTAGACATAACTCTTGACGACGATTCGAACGAAGCGAAATTAAGTAATTCGACATTTAAAATAAGGACACACTGAAAAAGGACTCCAAACGAAGAAAAAAGACCTCACTAAAGATAGTCCTGTGGAGCTACTGAAGATTTCACAAGTACTTTGTCCATTGAGAATTGTATCTAGAATTAGATTGCTGATTAAAGTGTACGTGACCCATAGAAACGAAGCTATCGTTAGTGGTTTACAAACATATCATCACCAATGTAGTTGCGGGTCCCAGCAATTTATGTCAGATATATTGTAGAACAAACTACCTACTGTAATTATTATGATACGGTCAAGCACTCCAGAGAAAAAAACACTTCGCGGGTCACTATCGCGGTCCGGGCTGGCCGCGGAGCGACCGCATGCGTACGAGAAAATTATAATTAAAGCATAATTTTTTAATCTACTAATCAGCCGAAACGTTACATTATGGTAACATGCTTTATTCATACGTTGCAAGCCATTGTCGTCTTTTAATGAAATGGGTACCGCGGAATACTACGCAAATAGGAGCCGCCAAAAATGTTTGTCAACTCGGCTTTCGTAAACCACCTGAAATCTTATAGAAAGTTTTTACGTTTACGATACAGCTTTCGAATGAATGGTTTCAAAGTGTGCTGAAGTTGAGCGAAATTCGATTGCATAGTCCTATACGATGGCGGCAAACTCGACTGCTCCGATGTATTACCCGTAGCCGCACCCTCAGACCATAGGACAGACAAAGCTAAGTTTTGGCCTTGAACCTACTTTTTGAATAGATATGACTAATTGAAGCTCACCTTGTGACCGTCGAAGCCTACGGCATCTGGCGAAAAAATTTAGCCAATGATCGAAGGGGCACTGCTAGCGGCGGGTGACCCCAAAACCGCGTATATTAGCAAACAACTTAGATCTCTCGTAACCGGAGGTAATAGTGTTGTTAATAAAAACGCTGAGATGTCATCATATCAAATTGTCACTTGAAGTTAACGGGATTCTCAGAGACGTATAGATTTCGCACCAGATAACGTATTTGATCAACAGTAAATGTTGCCGATTTAGTCTGATGAGAACAGCGTGTAATCGTGACATTGTTGGATGTTTCAGGGGCTTAGAACGCTGTAAAGCGCGCCGCGAGAAAATCGTACATTTGCATTTAGTTTCAACAGAGGCTTCTTCGATTCATTCATTTCTATCTGACGCGATGCAAGCTAATGCAATGGAGTGAGGGTCGACTAGTCTATAAACATTGGCAACAAAGAAGTTCCGTAGGAGAGTGTTATAGCCCATCGTATCTGTTTTAGAATTAGCCAAAATCATTACCGAAATGTCTCAATGTATTACAATATGCTCTTCAAATGCAAAATGCTCTTACTGCCATACGACGACACACTGCGTGCACGTTTACGTATAGAAACACAAAGAAACATCCAGAACAACAATATAACAGAGTTAGTGAAAGGCAAACCAATCTAGTTTTTGGAACCTGCAATGAAATTAAACAGCTTAAAGTGAGCTGAGCGGTACCCGGTTGACACAGATTTGTAAGATGTCCAGAAACATCTGGCCTGAGACAGCAGTGTGCATAGCTCCTGCCCAGTTGGGATGGGAAGAACTTTAAATTGTCAAAATTCGTCGGGCAAACAGAGCAGTTGCAACATAGTCTAAATATAGCAGTGTAGCTGTAGAGCTTTTTAACACGACTAGTTAGAAAACAGCTTAAGTAAATTAAGCTTTACAGCCTCGGAAGTTCGCAGGAAACTGCTCGAATGGAAAAACGGATTCCCAACGGTTACTTAAATCGAGGAATGTTAATTAATTAGCGTTAAGTAATAAGTACCCCGGCGCGTAAAACTTGCACATGGGCTCGACGGTGCTGTGAATCGTTTAAATTTTACAAAATTGAGAAAAATCAGTACTTGTAACGTGTATGAAGGCGTGCGTTGGTTTCTATAGGGATGTAGGGGACAGAAGTGCTAAAGTACAAGTACTAAAAATAGGATGAATGATCTTAATTTGTAACACTAAGAACAAGAAGCGTCCATTTTCCGTGAACGATTTGTTAGTTTACGTCAAACGTCAAAATAAATTGTTGTCGACAAAGAAATATGCATAAAATTAATGCGAATAGATGCACATTGAACATTATGTATAAAAACTGCTAAACGCAGGAATAAATTTTTACGTATGCTTGTGCTATATACTAAATAGATGCACAAACGGCATCAGTTTTCAACTTGTCATCTTCAAGTCATCAACTTATACTTTCAGTTCTTTTTTTACAATGAACGACGAAATAAGGTTAGTTGCCCTGGAGTTCTACCCACAGAAAATCCAATAGCATGAGAATTAAGTGGACCGCACGATGCCTACGCCCCACATCTGTGGGCACCTTACCTTCGTACGAAGTCGTGCGTGGCTTTAATGCGAACTGCCAATCCGTACATTGCCCGTAATCCCTAATCCTTAAAAGCTGTGATGGATTTCCCCTTTCTTCATAAAAGCTGACAAATAAAATCGAGCTTTTTTGCAGTAGTAGTCGCCGATCATTACCGCACCAATAAAGGTGGATTACTGGAAAAGCTTGCTTCTACCGGTTTTTGTTTTTTCCCAAGTTTACAATACCTTAACTATTTACATTGTTATTATTACGATTTGGCATCATATGTACAAGTAAGTGTGCTTTCAAGAAAGATGTAGTGAATTCTCTTACGGAGTGATCGGGTTCATTTGCTACATTACCAATTGTATGCTTCGCTTAGGCATACCGTAGAAAACGAGTGCGGATTGATGTTGAGTAACGAGAGATACAGCACACTAATAGAATGAACACAAAGCAAATCAATATCTCGCCCTGCATGAAATCGTATCGTACTCTACATAGAAAGACCTAGTGATACTGGCAAGTGGCTGAAAACGTCGGACGATGTATGCATCGAATTTTTGATTTTTGAAAAAAAATCAGTGTGTTTTTATTATTATCGTTTCTTGCCGATAAAAGAGATCTATCTAGAGAGGGTTCGAGATCTTTTATGACTAGCATAGACATTCACTTGTGTTGAAAATTCCCAGCGAAGCGGAAAGGGCTTGTAAAATTAACTAGATATCTCATTAGTATGTTATGCTTGCGTTTCATTTGAATCGACAAAAAAAACAAAAACTAAGCTCTTCCAAAGTGTATAATCCTATGTACAAAATAAGAAAGATGGGAAATCGCGTGGAATTTTATGAGCCAATAACATTGACACAATTCTTCGATTGTCCAAAGATATAAAATGACATTCGCTATAGTGGGACTACTATCGGAACACCAAGAACTTCAAAGTGTATGATTCCAAAAATTGACTTTTATATAAGAAACTTCATTCCGCGTGAAGTGCGAAATCTTACGTGGAGCTATGCCTCTTACACGCTCGTCGATAGATAGATAGATTCGTAGGACAATGGTATTATGGCTTTGCACCTGAAAATTTCAAGATTTTTTCCCATTTTAAGGAATGGAGGAGGTTGCAAGTGAAGGTTTCGTCCTTTGCGTGTCAAAGCTTTCTACGAGGCCTGGCATAGGTAGCGCATTTCATTGCATAGATACTATTAGGAGTGAAAATTAGCTCCTATTTATTTAGCGGCCTTGCCATAGTTTGCTCAAATCATCGGATGATTGTTCAAATGCCATCAGTATGCAAGGAAACCAAACTCTACTAACACGGTTTTATTAAGTAAACACAATTAATTTTGGAACCTCTTCTTTATACAATTGTGGACATTTAATCTTTCTATATACAGCATGCTAAAAAGCTTACTGCAGTACATTCAATACGCAACTACCTAAAGTACTTAAAAAGGAACACTGTTCTCCTATTTATTACGTAAGAGACTAGAATGTGTCGTTAATTTGTAGAAGTCCGCAGGAAAAGCTGTTGACTTAAGACTTTTTGCTCGGTCTACATGCATTTTGACTTTGCAGTGATTTAACTTAAATGGCCCTAGCCGTTTGCTTAACTGTTGCTAAATAGAAACAAGGTAAATTTCATTGCATACCCAACAAAAGCGGGCTTAGTAATTTTTAGATGTTCTGTACGTATATTGTGTCGTGACGAACGTGGCAAATAAGTCAAACCAGACCGCATGTAATGAAATCGGTATTCAAATAGAACTTCATTACAACAAGTTTAACATATAGGGCATAACTTATGAGCCACTTTTTAGCTCTAGTTCTGAAAACATGTTTAAGAATGACAATCCATGTCTGCGCCGTTACCGCCTAAAGTTAATGTTTACGGAGCACGTGAAACTTTGTGCCAGGACGTTGCTCATCGTTTCGACGTTGTTGCGAAATTAGTCTATTGTAGAGTTCAAGGCCTCGTCGCACAAATAATCGATACCTGTTAGCGGAAGTACAGCTCCCTTACTCTGAACTCCACTCACGTCTGGTCTGTAGTAATCTATTGACAGGCCCGATAACAGCGTTGTTATATATATATATATATATATATATATATATATATATATATAAAAGTATCATATAGGCATCTGATGCATTATAAGGCGCTTAGTCAAGTTAATATAAAGACTTGAATAGAGATTGGTTTGAGCGACGCGTCGTGCGCCACGCCTACCTTCACGACCGAAACTGGGGATCATCATTGCGACAACGTTAACGAGATACGAGGTATTACTACAGATCATTTTTTTTCTGCCTGCACCTAGGTTCAAACTTAAACCACCACATGTTGAACAGGTTACCCACTGCATTTCCACGACGGCAGTCGTATCGGAATAGATAGATAAAGCCGGCCAAAGTCGAAATCCAACGAATTCCGCTCATAGATTATATTTCATACAATATTCGAGCCGGGAGTTTACAAACGACACTGTTGCAGTGTCGTTTGAAAGGAGTAAATGAAAAATAAATAAATGGTAACACCACATCAAGGAGGTTTGCCTCCCCGCTATTTACTGATGAAACTTACAAGTGTGCGGGTGTCGTCGTCATCATCATCGTCAGGCAACTTGAGGGCAAATTTGTCGCGGATTCTTTTAATGAACCCTTTACCTACCACATTATGTGTGTCACTATTTATCTCTAGGATTCGCATTTTGTCTTGCTTTTTACGAAAGGATCAGTAATGCTACAAAAGGGCCACCTGAAAGTAACAAGACATATTAATCGCACATTTAACGGAACATTGAACCTAGCTTTCAACAAGAAATCAAGAACGCTTATCTAGAATTTAGTTGTATAACTTGTTGAGATAAAAAGCTGAAAAACAACATAGAGACTAAAGGAATATTTCCAGTAACGCTAAGAGTTTAGGTCATCATCGAAATGTGGCACTCTTAACCTGAAAATGAGCTTTTGGCAGGAATTTAAAGAACATTTGTACGACACCTACGAACCTAAATCGGCCAACGATCTTTCAGATTTTACTATAATCGACTGAAGTTTATCTGCGTGCTACAAATTACTGAATCATTCTTGTCAATAAGTTCCCGTTTGCTTATTGATGTGAAATGCAATTTATTTGTGTTATAAAAACATTTCGACAATAGTTTGGAAGCCTCTCAAGCAGTCTCTAAGGTTATTGATCGCAAGGACTAATATGTACAACCCTTGAACTCTCCTCCTCTTAAATGAATTGGGGTAACTTCCGTTTGCTAATGTGCCTGCACTCGCAAGAACACGTAGTTAAATCGACTGCCAAAAACCGATTAAACACATTTTAACTCAGAAGTTCACTACGTTCAGTTTTTTTTGTCTCAATAAAACATGAATTAATAGCTATTTCTCGATGAGCGATACGCAGAAATTCCATAAATTTTTACCGTACATACAGGTATCTGCTGAGAGATCGTAAGACAAAAAGTGGGTCTCTCCATTAACGACAACTAGCGGACGGTATAGGCACGGTGACAAAGGAAAGTTACCTTGCCAGCCAGCGTTTTGTCAAGTGTCGTACGTAAAAAATGAGACTCTGTGTAATAATCTGCAAATGCTAAAAAAGTTCCTTCAAACGAACGACTTCGATGCGCTTGTTGGTTTGTACCTGCTTGAATCGTCTATAATCGTAACCCTTGTTAATTCTGTAGGTAATAATACTTGGTTCATATCATATAATAAAAAAGGTAATAAATAATCATTTGGTTGGACAAGCCA